CCCGGAGGGACTCCAGGAGGAGTTTTAAAAGAATTTAGTTTTTATAATAAATTTTGGATAGTTATAATGATTAAATGATGTTTATCAGTATTATTTATTATATTTCCAATAGATTACATAATTATATATAAAAGTAATTTGTCATATGGATAAATTGAAATATAAGACTGAAACAAAGATAATATGGTGAACGATGTAAAATTATACAATTCCAGATAATAAATTAAAATTACAATATTAGGTCTAGTGTAAGTATAAAGTATAAGCAATGATAGATTTTGACTAGTAGTGGAATCCAGAACATGTGTTTCGTCTTATTTAGGACTCGTCAAATAAACAATAGAAAATGAATTTAAACTTCATCCCATTACATAAGCAAGGGACTATCAGGATTCAATAGCAAACGGTAATGGGTTCGAGTCGTGGAGTGAATATCATCTCAGGGATTCATGTATATTCAGTTGACAAGTCTCAAATAGGATGAAACATATGTACTGGATTCCACTGCTAGCTACTATCCATCTTTACTTATAATGCTTATGAATTAAGGCAATATCGAGGCAATCCGCACAGTATGTAGATATGCTAATAAGAGACTGATCAATTACAGTTCTAAACATCAATGGGAAGATTCGAATAAACAATACCAAGTAAATATCGAGACGAGTTGTTATTTCAAATGAATAACCAAAATTAATTGTGTATTAAAATAAATTGTTAGATCGTCTGGAATCAATACAATGAAAGAGCTATTTTAGATGATTAGTTGAGTTTGATAGCAGCTAGTATTTGTCTACAAGTAGTATATTTAAACTTAAGGCACCATTGAAGACCAACCAGAAAAGTTACCATTGACCTCTTCGAATCTCAACTGAACTTTTGTAGAACCCTGATCATAGACTATTGATTGATTCTCGAGTCTTTCGACTCTATAAGAAACTCATTCATTCACTGTCAGTGGAACCAAATAGTCTGGATGTAATGAATTATCTTTCCAGTATAGTCTTAGTCTTCGTTGATTTACAAATTTATATCAGTTTATGCTGAGAACTCATAAATGAGTCATTTGTGATGTTAACACCATTGGATGCCGGTCCAGTGGTCTAATGTTTAAGCGCTCGTGCGCGAGACCTGGTTCGAATCTCGGGGGGGGCGGTATCATGGACGCGCACTGCTGAGGAGTCCCATACTATGATAAAAGGGCCGTCCAGTGCTTCCAGGTATTCTATGGTGGTCTACCCCCAATCGACTTATGATCTCAACTATTGAAATATGGTAATAAGCTAACCAAAGTTTGATAATATACACTTCAAAAATAGATATCAATTTACATTCACATTTTATATAAATAAAGATCACACTGAAGGACTTTCATTATTATTACCAATTCACAAACTCATCGAAATGACATGATTCAACCATATTTTGAACTAAGACAGTAAATCAAATGAGAATAAGAGACCCTAGTGATCTTTTTAATCCATCCATATGGGTGACCAGCTCTGATTTGTATATACACTAGTGAATCCACATAAAGATATCATTGAGAGAAAAAGTTCTGTTCTAATATCAGGTTACAATATAGATATTATTGAATTAGTATCAATGTTTTTAAATAATATTATTGATGTATTTTGTGAACTGAATATGAGATAACTACCTATTTAAATCATGTGAACTTTCTACTATAATACACTACTATGTTTCTGCAACTATTTTAATCATTAGGTAATAGTCTATAACAATTCAGTTAGTATTCTATTCTCACACTGAATGCTGACTTACTCTCTACTTATAGAGCTGAGTGATAATAGCCAAATTAGAAAATGAGATAAAGGCTGGTAGATAATTAAGAGATGGCATCATTCCATAAAGTCAACTACACTATAACATATAGTTTTATAAGAAAGTGGCAGAAACCGGGTAAATTCTAATTTTCAGTAGTTATCCTTAAGTGAATGAAGTTTTATTATGGTTGTTTTGCTAGTGTATAATGTGTCACAATTGTTTTTCTGATTGTATTTCTTACCCATAGTAGATTTAATCACAAGTTCTTTTTTTTTTACTTGTAATATTTCCAACCAAGTGAAAATAACAATCATTTCATAACAACAGGATATCAGTTACTGCCTAAATCACTCAGTGGTGATGTTTCATACAATGAAGCTGAGTAGTGAAGTGAGTTAGAATCATAGAGAAAACAATAATACCCTCAAGTTTACAAATAACTCTTGATGGTGAGTAACAACTACCCTTTCTCTTTCTCCTGGTGATCGACTAGATCATGAAGACGTCAACATCTGAAGGTAAACACGGGATACAATGGACATCTAGGATGCAGCTAGACGATCTAGACTTCGCAGATGATCTGGCCCTCCTATCGCAATCGGAACAACAAATGCAGGAGAAAACGATCAGTGAAGCAGCAGCCTCAGCAGCAGTAGGTCTCAATATACACAAAGCGAAAAGCAAGATTCTCCGACACAACACAACATGCACCAATCCAACCACAATTGACGGAGAAGATTTGGAAGATGTAAAAACCTTTACATATTTGGGCAGCATCATTTATGAACATGCTGGATCTGATGTAGATGTGGAAGCGCGGATCGGTAAAGCGAAAGCAGTATATTTACAACTAAAGAACATCTGGAACTCAAAACAACTGTCAGCTAACACCAAGGTCAGGATTTTCAATACAAACGTCAAAACAGTTCTACTGTATATGGGGGAAACCTGGAGAACTACGAAAGCCATCATCCAGAAGATAGAGGTGTTTATTAACAATTGTCTACGCAAAATACTTCGGATCCGTTGGCCGGACACTATCATCAACAACCTACTGTGGGAGGGAACAAACCAGATCCCAGTGGAGGAAGAAATTAGGAAGAAGCGCTGGAAGTGGATAGGACACACATTGAAGAAAGCACCTAACTGTGTCACAAGAAAAGCCCTCACATGGGATCCTGAAGGCCAAAGGAGGAGAGGAAGACCAAAGAACACATTACGCCGGGAAATGGAGATAGACATGAGAAAAATGAACAAGAATTGGATGGAAGTAGAAAAGAAGGCCCAGGATAGAGTGTGTTGGAGAATGCTGGTCGGCAGCCTATGCTCCATTGGGAGTAACAGGCGTAAGTAAGCAAATAAGTAAGTAAGATGGGTAACAACTAGAACGAAACTTAAATTAAAATTTTATTGTAAACTACTTTTAACCATCTAACATCCCAGTTTAGTATTTGTATTTTCTAGTCATTTAAGCTAACGTTCATTTTGAAACTTGTTCCACAGAATCCGATCAGTATTAAGGAATAGTCAAACATTACCCTATTCACTCCTCAATAATCAATTAATTGTAAACAATTAGATTACTCAAACTTGTACCGAAAATAATAATGTTATGGGTCTGGTACTTCTGATTATGTAATCACGTGAATGATTACTCAGACTAAGCTAAGTACATATGATTGATCATTTGTTATAGAATTTGAGCATTTTTAACAGGATGGGAATTTCTCTGACACATTGATTGTGTATAAAAAATATTATAAAAAAGTCAGAGAATATATTTTTAATAGTTTATAAGATAACCATTTCCTTCATCATTTCCAGACGTATTTATTTATCAGTATAGGATTGTGGAGATTGTTGAGTTTTGATTGATGTCATGAATGGACCAATGCTAGACCATCAATGAAAACCTGAAAGCAATGGACGACCATTTCGTTTCGCCCACTGGTCTATAGGTTAAGTGTTCACTCGTGAGTCCGAAGGTATTCAGTTCGAGTCCCTCTGGTGCACGATCGTGGATTCGCACTATTGAGGAGCCCCATATTAGGATGAAACGTCTGTCCAGTGCTTCCAAGTTTTCAGTGGTAGTTTAACATTGATCCATTCATGATATCGAAGTAATTATTTATAAAATACTGAGCAAAGTATTTATTTATTAAAATACACTACCTACATCATACATATATATCTTAGAAATATAAAATGATTTAATGAATAGAATATTATATTAGAATGATGATGAATATCTTGTAATGTCTGTTAGAAATTAACATTTTTGCTCACCCATCACCTTGACTAACATTATATTTTGATTGGGATCATGAATTGATCACTGTTAGACCAACACAGAAAACCTGGAAGCACTGGACGGCAGTTTTGTCCTTATATAGGACTCCTCAACAGTGTGCATCCACGGTCTCGCAAGCTGAATTTGAATCCAGAACCTTTGGTATCGTGCGTGAACGATTAACATTTAGACCGCTGAGTCTTCATCCAGCGGTATTACTATCTAACTTCAACCAATCCACGATACTGCATGACTGTACACCATTGTCTTTGGTGGGTAACTGCTTCCCACCTGACACAGATTAGCTCCATTGGTTACAGTTTCTCATACGATTTTTCTTAATTTAAAGGATAGAATTATCAACTCTGAACTCCATCTGTTAATATGTCAGCTAAATGTTCATTACTTAGTTTTATAAACCATAATAGATGGGTTTGTGTTCAAACCTTCATTATCAATAATTGGAATTTAAATACTTTTTAATCACTAAACTATTATTTCATTAAATTTTATGCAACCCAATCGATACAAGAATCAAACAATTCATTAATTCTTACAATGAAATGACATTCAACCATTGAAGCCTATGGTAAATACCACTAAACCAGAGTACATAAACTCCAGCACAAAGTCAGGTGAATGCTTCATTCTATATTTTTGTAACGTTGTTACAACTTTTACTTTCTCTAAATAGCCAAATTAGATCATCTTCTCAGCATCAGTCGAATAACAAAGCCATTCAAAACGACACCGATCCAATGACCTCACTAAATCATTCAATCAATAGTAGCAACGTGTGGTATATACAATGAAATGACAACTAAATTAAATTCATTGAAACTTTTTACTGAATAATACTTAATTGTCCTTTTTAAAAAAAAAAACAAAACCAAATAAACATCCATTTTACTAGACAACTTACCGGTATACCATCCATGATGTCGATCCACTAGACAATTGATAGTTTTATAGGAATAATTTCTATATATCCTTTGATCATCATCATTTAATGAATTTTCATTAGAATTTTCTGGCTTATCCTTCTTGATCATTACTGTTAAGGTAATTTACTACTATTACTACAACAATAATGATAATAATAATAATAATGATAATAAAGAGATAAATTGAGTAATTTCCGAAATATGAATGGTTTTATGCGAATATCCTTTCACTACATTTTGTTGTCGTTGTTGTTGGTGGTGTTGTTGATTATTAATGAAGTGTTTAAAGGTCACACTATATTATTACTGCAAATGAATTTAGGTTAATACTTTCAAGTGACCAATCAGAATTAAGGATCTATTTCATTGATTGAAAAGTAATAATAGCATGTAGAGAGAGAGAGAGAGAAAAGAAATAACTGATAAAGATTTTCTAAGAGGTGAATTGGTGATTAATCTTATTTACATTCAGAAGGGATTTTTGTGGATATTATAGTAATTTCTTTTAATAATCGAGTTAATGAGTTAATTGAAGCTAGACCATAATGGGAAACCTGAAAGCATTAGATGATCGTTTCATCCTATTGTGGGACTCATCGGCAGTGTGCAACCGTGATCTGGCCTTGCGAGATTCGAATCCAGAACCTATCAATCTCGGGTTTAAATTCTTTAGATGTGAAATTTTTCTATCAAAATGTAATTACTATAACATAAGTGTCATTTTTTCTTAAAATTGAGTATCTAGTAAGAGATAGATAATGGTTAGCAGTGGAATTTAGGACACGTGTTTAGCTTTATTGAGGACTCGTCAGTTGGATGTGCCTGTATCGCAGAGCTGATGTTCACTCTGGGCCTGAAACTCAGTACCATTCACTTCAAATGCCATCGCGTTATCAATTTCAGTCTTAAAAATTAATGGGAAGATTCAAGTAAACAATACCAAGTGAATTTCAACTTTACCCCAATTCACAAGTATGGGACTATCAGGATTCAATAGCGAACGGTACTAGGTTCGAGTCACGGAGTGAATATCAATCCAGGGATTCATGTATATTCAGTTGACAAGTCTCAAATAGGATGAAACATATGTACTGGATTCTACTGTTAGCCATCATCATGATCATAGATTAGTAATTAATTATCGAGTCGAAAGACTCGATAAGAAACCCACTCATTCACTTTCAGTGGATCCAAATAGTCTGGATGTAATGAATTATCTTTCCAGTATAGTGATAGTCTTCGTTGATTTACAAATTTATATCAGTTTATGGTGAGAACTCATAAATGAGACATTTGTGATGCTAACACCGTTGGATGCCGGTCCAGTGGTCTAATGGTCAAGCGCTTTGCGCGCGAGACCTGGTTCGAATCTCGGGGGGGGGGGCGGTATCATGGACGCGCACTGCTGAGGAGTCCCATACTATGATAAAACGGCCGTCCAGTGTTTCTAGGTATTCTATGGTGGTCTAGCTTCAATTGACTCATGATTTCAACTATTTGTGATATTGATGGTGTGGATAATGTCAAACATATAATCAAATCTATAACTGACTAATATTCATTAAAATTGTAATTGTTGTCTTTTATGATAGAAATTTTTACTTTCATAATCAAGCAATGTAACCAATTCATTTGACACTATTATTAGATGAATTAACCTATTTATAACAATGAATACATAATGATCTTACCATTAATAGATCAATTTTGATGTGAATATTTGTGAGATAGGATATGTTGTGCAGTGTTTTGTTCTATTCTACATTATAGGTGTAAACCATAGCCTTTTGAAAAAGGGAACACCCAAAAATTTTTAGCCGCAAGTGTTTTCGGAGAAAACTCCGTGTGTTGTAGACTGACTAAGTGAGTGATGTGAAATTTAAACATAGGGTACTAGAAGAAGATTGTAAATCAGTTGATAAAGTATTGAATATTCATCAACGGAGCTGATTGGTACATAAATTCCATATGACCAGCAACCATCTACTTTGACACTCAATGTTTATTGATATAGTAGTTTGAAAGAAAGCTATGGAAGACCAAACTAAATATGACATCAGTCCATGAAGTCATTGACTGTTGGACTGAGTCTTGTAAGTAGATGAACACTACTTGATTGGGGTACACGCAATTATCTTAATCAGTTGTTGGAACCGTTTAGTGACGTGGTTTATAATCTACCATAATAGTGAGCATGAATTTGCTCCCTGTCTTCCATTGGATTTATTTTAAAATTATCTTATATCTTTTATTCCATAAATTCATGACTTACTACCAAATCTATATTTGAAAATATTACGAGATCACTTAAATAAGAAACGGAACGACAGTTCAACAACACAAAGACAAGACAAGCTAAACTATTCCACTGAGCATTATCCCTGCTAGCTAGAGGGAAAAAACCAGGTTCAGCAGAGTAAAAGGTATATTCCACAAGTAGTCAGAAGCACGAGAGAAACAAGCACACAACTCAAATACAGCATAAAAAGATCTTTTGCAAACGACAAAAAATGGCGTACTTAAAGAGGTACTGAACCAATGACATTTAAGGTCCTTCCAAGTGGGAAATATAGTATGAAAAAAAGACGCTTTTGATGCAAAGACGAGAAATTCAAATTTCCAAAATAAAATTACAAAAATAAGACGTTTACCAAGTGATTTCTGGAGATTCACCATTCTCAACAGAATAATAGTGACAGTAACTAATCTTTCGCACAATCACTGTTATTACTACTTTCACCGTCAAGTATTCTTAATCATTAATATAAACTTAATACACAACTGTTAAATACCTAATTAGTGAACTATTCAGGTTTACCCTAATGTCTTGAAAGTTAATTATAATTCAAAATGTACGGTAGTTGGTCGTTTTTGTTGCATAAGAGATAAGTTGATTGACGGATATTTATTGAAAAAAACCCATCAAACCATGCCGTTAAATTTTAAGGGTTCTAGTTTCTAGTGAGTGAGGAGGATGGATCTCTCCAGAGGTTGAAGACAAGCCCCACCAAAGGGTAACCATCACAAAATCCGAAATTTCTTATGGTTTATTTCGAATGTCCGGACATTGAATATAATATTTCCGAATGTTGAATCACTTGTAAACTAGACGAATTGAAATTAGTCAGTAATTAACAACCATTGAGCGATATGGGGGTTGTACAGATTGGTTTTTACTTCGATCACCAACCGGTCTAAGTCAGACAACCACTGAAAAGCTGCAAGGATTGGACAAACTTTTCTTTCTACTATGGAACTCCTTGGCGCGAAACCGAAGGTCTTGCATTCATTTCTCAGCGGCAGGGTCGTGGGTGTGCACTTTTGAGAAGTCTCATACTTCAACGAAATAGCTCTCCAGTGCTTCAAGGTTTCAATGGTAGTTTACCTTAGATCGGTTCATGAACTCAATAAAAATAACCAAACAGTTAGAGGTAAATTACTGTAAAATGAGTTTACTTATTTGCGTAATCGATTGCAGTAAGGAATATGTTTGATGAGATGGATACTGACTTATTTGTGATTTTATGACTGTCACAGGAAAACTATCAAACCTTCAAACCAGAATTTTCTGTAAAGTCGTCTACATACTACTTATTTCAAAAACGTTTAATTTAGTTCCATACAGAACAAAATGTTTTAAATAAATATTTGTTGACCCCTTCAGTATACCTGCTCTAAATCATTAATCAGACCAATATCAATAGAGAAATGAATTGATCTTAGCAGTGACTCAATGCATCTATCAAAATTGCAATTGCAAACGACACTAGTAACAAGATCATTGGTCTCACTATTTGAATGTAACTTATTTCTCAAGCGAATTTTATATACTTGGCAATGAAGAATATTATCCATGTGAAATATATGATGCTACCAACGGATTGTCTCAATCATTATTACGATGTTCGACATTATGATCTGACAGGTGAAAGTAAAAAGCCACTGAACCACTACTCCATTTGTTAATCAATAGTGAAATTCCAATAATGTTTTTTGATGACCTTGTTAAAAATGTATTTTTTTTACTTTATTTTTTGGTACGATTATATATTTTGACATTGACCTTGTAAATACAGAAGTACGTTTTTAGTCATTTATTAAATAAATGGATAGTATTTCAATTTGTTTAGATTTTATTTTGACAGTTTTTCCAGCACATCTATTGTCATATTCAATTGAAGGTCTGTTAATGTTAATTTCGTTCAAAATGTACATTCGCCAACAGAGATTATGCAGAAGTACTGAATAAATTCTCATTAGAGGAGTCCTAAACAGACGTTTGATACTACTAGGTTTTTAATGGCTGTATAACTTAAGTCGGTTCTTGTTCTCAATAAAAGACTGATTAATTGTAGTCCCCAATATAAACAATATTGGATTATAAAACATTATTACCATCTTTACATTCATCGAACAAGCTAATATATGGACGTAGTGTTGTGTATGCTACTTATATTGACAGATATTAGTAGTATGTTACGCCAATTAAAAGTGGAATGACTATCAGCAGAGGATTGTATTGAAGAGAAGAGGAATGGAAGCAGAGAGCAATTGTAATAAATACATAATTGAAAGGATCATGAAGCATGTAAAAGATAATTGAAGCAAGATGTACAAACAATCTATTTAATGTGTGGTTTCCATATTTTACGAAAGCACTCTAATTTTGCATTTAACAATGAATTGATTAACCTCACTAAGTTTTTGTTCACTACAATAGTAGCTTAGCAGATAACGCTTTGGGTTTCTGAAACGATTGGCAGTGGACTCGAGTTTCAGTCTGGATATCAACGCTGGAGTGCAGGTTCACCCAGGTGATGAGTTTGAAATAGGACGAAACGTGCGTCCAGGATCCCACCTGTTAGTTATATAAAAAGTACAATAAACCATTGGTATTTATATTTTTATCTTAACTATAAACTTTCATTTGATTGGTAAACCGTTGAGATATCTTCCGACATTTATAAATGACACTTGATTAACTATAAAAATGCTTTGTACACAAATGTTTTAATTCTATACCTGTTTAGACTTATTTATACAGTGTTGTTTTACATTTTATATTGATAATAATATATGACTCTTTGAATGTGAACAATAAAATATATTTGATTCGCTTTTGTAGTGTTGGTTGGTTGTGACAAGGTGAATTTTGAATGGACAACTATCTTAATTTCAATATTCATTAAAAGTGCAATTTCTAACATTTTTGTTCAGCTACTGGGTGCTGTGTACCTGTATTGTTTTCAATAGAGACTTCATTTTAATCATTTAGAGCTACCTACATATATCCTCTATGATCACGACAATGTGGCATATCCCGACTTGCTGGATGAAAACCAATCGATAAACGAATCGAGAGTTAGAGCTTGAATTGAAATCCTCAGTGAAAATTATTCTCTTGTATGTAGCATTCATTCACTAAATGGATGGAAAATTCTAAATATTGTACGAAAACATAGAGAAGCAAATATGCTGCGATTTCATGGTTACGTATGCTAACCCAAATTGAGCGTCAGTTTATACAATAGCTGCGTTAATGATACCATTATCACTGAAGTCAGTAGAAATTCATGAAACCGGCATTAAACACGAAAAATGGTACTGATATTATGTATATATAAATCAGGTTGGTAAGCACGGAGGCAATTGGAAAACCACGATTCCAAACCAATGGTGCAGGAGGGTTTCAGGACCCAAAGGAAACAAATAGCGTATGAACCTATTCTTGGTTATCGGCTACCACAAAATCACATCTCCTAAATCTGCCCCACTGTCTTGGGCATTAGAGCTCCAAGTAAAAGGCACGGGGATTGACTCTAATAAAACCACCTACTTCTGTTTAAGCAGACGAGCAATATTCCAGACCACATACAAATTCAATTGTTTGTGTGTTGCATGTATATTTTGGTGCCACTATGTACAAATATTTGTGTTTAAATAAATAAATAAACGAATGCAAATTATATCTTTCGTAACAAATTAATAAAACTAGAAATTTGTTTACAATGTTCAACTAGTACTTCAAAAAAGTACACTGATACAATAAAAACAATAAAAATACTATATATGCATATCAATGAGCTTATTACAGACTGTACATAGTACAATAAAAATGGGCATTTTGTTGATCGGAAACTTGTTTTCTTTTGTTGTATTGAAGGAAGAAAGGAATGCAACACAACAGTTCATGTGAATACAAAGACTACGTAGAATATTGTAAGCGGTAAGTGACAAACGACAGGAGAATATGAATCAAGAATCACCAATAATCGAAGAAGAGAAAGAAGAAGATTCTCTTCAAATAGATGATTAATGAATTGGTATAAAAACGAACTAAATAGTTGAAAAAAAAACTTAGCATCAATAGTACTCAAGAAAAGTGACATACACACAGCCAAAGAAAAAAACATGGTTTAATTTACATATGGTTAGTTGGTGAAATATAATTGAACGACTGTCATCAGAAGTAAAAAACATCTGGTAATAAGAACAAATGCCTACAATTCCGTTTTCACTGTATTATCATCTGGAAATGAAATAGTAATTGAAAAAAGGAATATGTTTCATTTTAAACTATATTGTTACATATCGCATAATAAATTTATTTTATGTCCATATTATCAGGGTTTTTTGAGGTATTCCGATCACATGGGAACATGTGTTAAACATTGTTTAAGTTCTCCCGCTATCATAGACATCAACCATTTAAGAATATTACACTTAACTACTTATAAAACTAAAAGTAGCATGTTTACTTTCGAAGGAAAAATGGAGTTCACAGTTAAGCGGAAATTTCCTAGAATATTGTTAACTATTCTATTGAACGATTTACATAATTACTAAATTCAAAGTGATTTCATCATACAGTAATGAGAAGATGGAGTGGATCTAAGGACTATAATTCATTTGCACTGTTACTTTCGAGCAATCTAATCCCATATATGAATATGTCTGTGGTGATGTAGGATACATAGAAGTCCGGTTTTACTTTTACACACACAGTTTTGCACTTCTATAATGCACCCTATAAGTCTTGGAATTTAAATGATTAGTTGAACTGGTTAACTTCAAGTGCGTAAAATTGGATCTGGAAAAAGGTAATGCTGGACTTTTACAAACTGTGAATCACCATCACACACTCACACACATATATTTACATACATGTGACCAAATTGTTAGAAATATTTAGCACAAATACATCAACCATGTGTTCTCATCGTTCTATAAAGATTACACCATAATTTGAAAGACGATTTTTATAAACTAAATTTGGTATGACTTCTGTTGAAGTGACATTATTCATCAACAAGTGCTTGGAAAATAACTGTTGCTATCTAGTCACATTGAACTACTTATTTCGAAAATCTAGTACTGAGGAACTCTCTTAACATATCACCATGTATATGTACAGTATAATCGTATTCTATTTAAATCAATAATGACAAACATGAATTTACTTATTGCTAAAGCAGTATACATACCAATTTTCGAGTCTTCTACTGGACTTTCTTTAAAATATGGAAGTTCAGAAGTGGTTGGAACTGTGGAAAATTCAGTAGCAGAAGTTTTACCAGTACTACTGCTGCTGCTTTCAGTAGAGAGATAGACACGTTTCCATAATTTTTTAATTTCACGATCATAATCAACCCATTCCGGAGCGATACGCATTGCTGCTGTCAATTTCGGTTCTTTTGTACGTGGATTATTACACAGATCGATAGTTTTCGCCTTAGCTAAACTTTCATCAGAACACCATGTTTCACACCATAACCATTCTTGAGGTAATGATTTAATTGGAACCTTAACAAAGTAAATCAAATAAACTAATTGAATCCCAAATAAATATTAAGAAAGTACGAAAAATTTGGTACCAGTCAAAATAAATAAATATTTTTCATCATTTCATAATGTAAACGGTTAGTATAGTGGACTGTTTAATCAAAGAATGTTGTAAATTATATTCATATATATTTTTTTATTTTGTGTTACAGAGAAGGATTTTATTATTTTTTGAAAGAAATTTTCGATTTCAAGTGGAGTTGAATAGTGGATAGCAGTGGAAACTAGAAAGTACAATTTGTCCTACTTGCAACTCGCCAGATTGATGTGCTTACATCCCAGTATGAATGTTTATACCGGGACCTAAGCCCAGTACCAGTACCCTTCGTTTCAAACACCCGACGCATTATGCACTTAGATACTGAGTCCAAGTGACTACCGGTATATGCAACGAGGTGAATTTTAATTTATTTGTGTTGGTTGAATTTTCCTGTTAATATTGTGGATAACAATCGATTCATTTTTTTAGGCACATAGATATTCTGTGCATATTGCCGCAATATTATGATTTGATGGAAATCTTGAGGTAATCTGAACAGGATACGCATGTATTAAAAGAGATTGATAAATTTCGGTTAAAGTTTCCAATTTTTAAGATGAACTGCAAACGATGTTAGTAAGTAATGATACTAAATGTGACCGAGTGACGACTGCTCACGAGACCGTACAATTGATGCAAGCCTACAGACTGCTTTTAGATCAAAACACGACTATTGGTTAGAAGATACGGTTATAAAGAATATGGAAATGAATGTTGGAAAATTCATTCATGTTTCACCTCTTTAGAGCTGGAGCACAAAATGCTTTACGAATATGATGCTGAAAATTGAGCGATTCGATGGAATAACTAAGAGTTTAAAGAAGCAAAACAATGAGCAAACAACTAAATTAAAGCTGCTACTAAGTCACTACAAATAAACTGACCTGATGAATCATATTATTAGGTAAATCTTGATCTAGATTAGACAAACTATTTGGATCCTGACTTAAACCATGATACTGACCACGAAGTCGATCTCCAGCAGCTAACCGACGAAATCTTGTCAAATCGACAACATATAACGCTGAAATATGATATGGTCGACCAGCTAAATGATTAGCCCAATAGCCTTGTTTCCAAAATCGGAAACCATCCATTTCTTTACGAGAATCACAAAATGGTGTGTAACCGTACGGAGCACCATCTAAATCCAGATCGGCCAATTCTTTTAGATCCGCTCGAACAATCTAACATATTGATAAATCGAATCAAGAAAGAATATACTGAATTCATATTATTGATTTAATAGATAAGTACAGAGGCTTGTTAATCTTGATCATTAATTTACTTTACATTGCATAAGGTTTGTGTCTGTGAAATGTTGCAACACAATAAATAGCTTTTTCCTAAACTCATAAATATTTTATCTCGCTAAATTTATGTTTTCTGGAATTATAGCTTGAATGATCGATCACCCCTAATATCACTTATACTGTTGCTAATTCTATTACTCTAAGATTTGCCCTGACGATTCCATTTCGCTGTGCTAATAAGGTATGGTAACTTGAACCGATGTGCACATTTATCAGGTTCTACTTTGTGTTTCGTTAACTGAAAACTATACATTTGAATCATTTAACCAAAACGGGACAGTAATAAGAAAAAAACAAATAAGGAAATATTACTTGATCAGCATCAACAAATATAATTTTGGTCACATTCAATGGGAATAGAACATCAAGGAATAGAATTTTATAACCCCATATAATACGTTGTTTTTCAGTTTGAGCATGTAACCAACGTGGCCATTTATATTGAACAAATTCATATTCAAAACCATATTCTGCTGCCATATATGGTATAAAATCTTTAAATGTTGGTGAAAGATAGTTCTTGAGAAACCAAAATTTCACAGGAGAATTTGTATGTCGTATTACAGTTAACATCATAATTCTTTTATTTTGAGAAAAGAAATAACACAAAATATACAAATATATACGTTAATGTAAAGAATTAAGGGTGTGTTAATACATATATACACTCCAAAAATAAAGTCGTTGAGAAAAGAGATTTGGTTTTGTTGAACCTTCCTGACTTACGGTTCTTTAGTTCTATTACAGCATAATTGTAGTAATGTTGTTAAGAAAAAAAAGTAGTACATTTTACAGAGAAATATTAAATTGTTGTGTACGAATTTTGAGACTTTAGACAATCAGTAGTCAAGATAAATATGAATAAGGCTACCATGAAAATCTAAGAAGATATTTATTTATTTATTTATTTTATCTTACTTCCGGGAGCCACAGTTAAGATTCATCCCAGAATTTATTGATTTGTGAGCATTCATATTGACATATACATTCACCCCGAAAAAGCAATTACTAAAGTATTGTAGGTAGAGATCGATAGTGGCTGGCAGTGGAGTTCAGGACGCGTGTTTCGTCCTACCTTGAACTCGTCAGCTAGACGTGCCTGCATCCAACAGTTAATGATCACTCCGTGACTTGCTCCCAGTAACATTCGCTTGAAACGTTATCCACTTAGCTGTTGAGTTCAGATAGCCACTAGCTTGTACAATGAAGTGAAGTTTCATTCATTTTTGCACTAGTTGTTAGAATTTATTAATGGGATGAAGGTACATCTAGATGACGAGTCCCAAATAGGACGAAATGCACGTCATACATTCTACAGCTAGCTACCATATATTTCTGCTTATAATGCTTATGAATTAAAGCAATATCGAGGCAGTCTACACAGGATGTACACATGCGAATAAGAGACTGATAAATTGCAGTCCAAAACGTTAATGGGAAGATTCAAACAACCAATACAAAAACCAATTAAAGTTCGTAGACGTGTTTTGAAAAGATTGAAACCAAATGAGTACCTCTTAAAGATAGCTCATAGTGATATTTGGAAGATATCTTACATGAAATAAAGACATTCAAATTCCTTAAATATTCTACCACTAATAACAAAAATATTAAAGGAGAGTCAAAATGTTCTATTTATTCTGTTTAGAAAGAACATATACCAGTGTATTTAGTAAAAATAAATGACATAAAGTAACTAATTATCTATTAGTATAGATAGATTAGTCATCATATCAGACATAGAGGTGAGACCAACTGACGAGTCCTGGATAAGAAGAAACGCATGTTCTGCTAGCCATATTACATCTATTATATGCTAATTTGTGTCACAATGGGTAAATCGAGGTAATAGTCACAGGATGTACATATCCCAAGCAAGACTGATCAAATTTCAGTCCAAATATCAACAACCCTATAATCTAAACCATTTCAAATTGAATTAATTAACTATCTACGTAATGGTTGATTGAAAACTTATTATCGAAAAAAAACAATTAATGAACATACCTTAATAGTCGTTCATACAAATGACCAGAGGCAACAGAGAAAATATTGATAGTTTCTTGATTTGAAGTACATTTATGCCAAGGTAAATGAGATGCAAGTGAATGTTTTAGACTATGAGATTAAAAAAGGAAATTCAGGATTACACTGATCATAGTTGAAATCATTTGGAATAATGAAATTAATTTACTATGAGAAAGGGAATATTATTTATACGAAAATTATATGAGTAACAAAAAAAACATCGATAGTTGTTAATCAGGAAATGTGTTTAAATTACTCACTTTTAAATAGCTTACTACATTTTTTAACGTGAACTTATTTATTTTAACACATAGATATTGGTACAAGGAGGCACCAAATACATATGCGCCACACAAATCTCATTTGATATGTGTGAGGGCTGTGATAATGCTCGGGTGCCCATACCGAAGCAGGTGGTTTTCTTAGGGGACCACACCACGAGCCTTTGACCTTAAGGTTTGATCCACAAGGAAGTGGAGCATCGTATGGAGATGCAGTCCCATTGAAGCCGGTGACCAACAATTGGTTCATACGCCATTTGTTCCCGCAGGATACTGGAGCCCATGTGCATCAATGGTTTGGAATCTGGTTAAGGCGCCGGACATTCACTTTTCATCCTCTCATTTTCGTAAGTAACACCCCCTTCACGAGAAGGCAGTAAGTAGGACTTTCCTGGCAGTGTCTATATACATATATACATTTATATATAAGGTGAACGCCAATGATATTAAGGTTAATGGAAATGTCTTTTTTTGTTATTCAAAGGATAAGCACATTGTTTAGCTGTTCGTTCTATTCTACTTGATTTGGGTGCGTACGATTATCATTATCAATGGTTAGAGACGTTCGGTGATATGATTCAGAATCGTCACAATGCCGCAGATGCATTCACTCTTTGTCTTAAATTAGGTACTGAGTTTCAAAATTACTCATAATTTTCTTTATTTTAAAAATCTATTATTAATTCCCGAGTCATATCGCCTATAACTAATGTAATACCAATGATTCTACCGCTTATAACTAGAAATATAAACCACTGTAATTCCCACGACACAAAGTACGAGCACAAAGATCGGTACAATGAAGGTGTATCGACTCCCTAAAACACGACGTTGTAAGACCAAACATATTGATATATGTACTGATTTTATACACACTTAATGATTGATTGATGTATTTTAAACAGTTAGTCACTTTAAAATAATTTGGATAATACTCCATTGCAGATGATTTTGAGTCATGGCATTCAAAATCTTTAACCATTGTCTACAAAAACCATGTAAACCTCACTCAGGTAGCTTACACCTATTAACATGGCTCAGTCCACTTGTCAATGATTTCATAGACAGGTGGAACGTTTTGGTTTGATCGTCCCTGGTTTTCTTCTAACCTACTCCTGTATCAGAAAACATTGCCGTCAAAGAAGGCGGTAGTTGGACATATGTAACATATGTCCGAACCACCTCAGTTGATGAAGAATTACTATCTTACTACCTTTAGTAAGAACAGTATACAGTCGACCAGTTAATAATAAAAATGTTGAACCAGACATCATCGCCCATCAACGTAGTCAACGCTATTAAAATGTCACACTGGGAATAGGAACTGATGTCATGAAAAGTTACACTGAGTTAAAGGAAACGTGAACTTTCATGCTTATGCTGACCAATCACTTAGTATTTACTATTAATGGTGATCTTAACAATTTCACATCTTTGGTCTGATAACATGTGGCAACTTGGAGCGATGAAAAAAATTTTCGAGCTTCTACATTATGACTAACTACCTACGTTCGGAATATTTAAATAAAAGATATCAACATTTTATCAGTCATAATTGTTCAATATTTTCTAACATAAACTGAGGCCATCACGGTCAAATGTAAGTAAACTTATCTACACACAAACATACGTGTACTCAACGATGCTCTCTTACGCTGGATTCTTTATCGAACAAATTCTATTTATTATTGACTGAAACTAGAACATTAAAATGGAAAGGTAATCGAATCAATTACAGTAACTGCATAATACCGTCCATGCACATATTCGGAGAATGACACTGAGGTAGTGAGTTCTCTATTAATCCAAATGCTCTGGCACATTTGAGGGTGGGAAAAGTCTTCTCTCCCTCCCGAAATGCTCTCACATGGCTACGTGTATACAGACACTGCCAGCGAAATCATACTCACTACCTTCTCGCGGCGCGAGTGTTGTTTATGAAATATAGAGGAAGACATGCGAATGTCTGACACATTAACTGGATTGGTGTACACGGAGTATCCACTTAAGGGAGTTGGAAAGCCCTTATTCCAAACCAATGATGCACATGAACTCCAGAATCTTGAGGGACCAAAGGGTGTATGAACTAATTATTGGTCATCGGCTACCATGGGACTGGATCTCCTGACGTTGCTCCACTGTCTTGTGGATTAGACCTCTCGGTCAATGGCTCGGGGAGTGGCCTCCTAAGAAAAGCACGTACTTCAGTTTGGGCACCCAGTCAGTATCCCAGCCCTCACGCAAATCGGATGGCGAAGTGTGGCATATATAAATTAGACGTCTCCTTGTACCAATGTTTATATGTCTAAATAAATAAATCGCAAATAACCACAACCGATTATACCTTTTGGATTTCTTTCACTATCATAATATACATGACTACCTGACCAATTTGGCAACGGAAATGTGTCACTAGAAGTTGAGCAATCAAAGAAAATTAATAGGCTGTTTTAGAATTCTTTGATTTATTGTTGTTACAAATAAACAACTAGAAAAATTGGTGAATATCAGAGAGGAATAACCAATTGTTTTTTCACAGTTCATAAATCCTTAGGGCTCTATATTAATGACATTATGAGAGATAGAGGCCAGAAAGTAGATATGGTTTAGTCTTAGAGTCGGAATTCGATTTTTTTTATAAATCACCAAATTCAATCGCCATGTATTTTTTTCCTTTCATTAACATTTATTAAACCAATCATAAACTTATCTATTTATACAGATTTTTCTTCTGAGTAAACAGATAATTAAAACAAACATAATATTTACTTACCCACTTAGCCAAGAAGGACAATATTCATCAGCATAATTCGATAATGTAGACCAAACTTCTGAATGTTTATTTAACCAATTATTTGATTCTTCAGAACTATCATCTAACATACTTTCACTGGCAAATTCTGCACGTTTATTAACAGAGACTTCAATGATTTTAGAACGGAAATTACTAATCAATGTGATAATTTCTTTGGAATTAACAGATGTATCAGTATGTTCTTGGCTACATGTAATTATAATAAAAGAGATGACAGGAAGTAGATTATCATTAAATATTTTTTTATTGACCAAACTAGTTCATTTACTTCAAAGAATCAATTTAAACTTAAACAAATCCCCAGTGATCAAATGAATCTGTATCCAATAAACTTGCTTGTTAGTTACTTGTTATCAGTAATCGTAACAATTAATGGAGGGATGAAACAACTGTCTTGTGCATTGAGATTTCAATGCTTTTCTGTAATGTAATTAGAGACTGAGAAAGGGAATAAATTTTAATTTAATAATTCACCGCTAACTTGTATCTAACATGCCATGAACCCGCGCTTTATCATATCTTACAGTCACTTACATAAACTGTCTAGTTTTAGTTAAACTTAAAGAGTGAATTGATATAATCAAATATCAAATTATTCAACCCAGGTGAAGAAGTATGTCATACTGCCAGGTATGAGTTAGCAAGTCAGAATTACGATGACACCTCACTTATTTTGCGCGAAATTTAAAATAGAGTAGTCGATACGACTCAGTTAGTAGTCAAGAGTGTTCCGTGAAGCTAGATAGTATTCTTCCACTCTAATCCTTACTCTTAATTTCAAATACAAGTTTCTTAAGTTTGTAAACGGAAGGGTGACAAAGCATTGGACCATACCTGATATCAGTTTATGATAAAAACCGTAACCCTAATTTTTAGATTAATCTTAGGACTTCAGCTTAATTTTTGATGCCTAACCCTAACCATTTTGGATTATCGCTGATATTAGTTGATGACAGAAACTCGATGTGGTGATAACACTAGCCCGACTCCTAATATCCGAAACTGCAAAGAATAAACCGACATGAGAAGGTTGATCACTAAGATCCAAGCTAGTGTTCCACTGTCATGATAATACTGTTTGCTACTACCAGGCAGCGTTTCCTGATTAGCTGACAGGTTATTGGTATATCATACATTTACCGGATAAATCGAAGGTCATTAGATATTTTGATACGTGATGTACTGAATTATAAATAATAGTTAAATATATTTCGGTGATTACTCATTATGAAGATAGCTTTTCCTGTGACTGATTGACATCTATTGGAGAACTATTAAAAACAAAGAGTATTAGGCAATAAGTGCTTCTTTATAGAATTCCGCAGAAGTGTGCACCTACAACTTGACACAGGACCTAAACCACGGTACTCAAATCTCGAGTGAATAACTTGAAATGATAAATAATAATTTGAACAATTCAATATTAAATCTATAAAATGCGATGGGCAAAAAAGCAAAATACATACCCGGATATTTCATAAAGTTTTTGTGATTTCCCTGCACGAATATTCAAATGCCAAGCGCCAGGATTGGCTTTAAGTTGAAAGTAACCCTGATAAATAAATAAATTAGATGTTAAAAAATAAAAGAAACATAGATTCTGCTAATTCTAAACCTAATTTAGCACTAGTTGTTTTGAATACTAAGGTTCATCGGTTTTAGGACAGCGAGAAGTTATGTGGTTATCTTGTAACCTTCATTTTTGTACTTGATTATTCACTTAGCTGACAATCAAATTATTTTGATTAACATTATATCATTAAAAAGAGTTTAGTGGCCCGTTGGTCTGACTCTGACTTGATCGAATGATGAGGTTAACGAAATATACGTGCCGCCAACCGTTATACATAATTGTCGACTTAATTTGCGTTAGAGAATAACAGAACAGTACGACATAGTGCTAGACACTACAAGGGTTTGAATTATCCTGTTGTTGGTATTCAGGACTGAATTTTCGATTAGTTTCAGTTGATATATGTCCATCATTAAATCTCAGTGTTAACATCAACACTTGAATGTAGGGCGAATGCATTTGACAAGTCAAGAATAGGATGAAACGCGTATCCTGGATTTTACAGCTAACCACGACCCATCTATTCTACTTCAGTTGAACATTTTACAAATAAACGATAGCAACATTGTTTCATATTTATTTATATAATCAGCTACCTAATGGTCCTGTCTCTTCAAATGAAACTCCAAGTCCGATTCTACTGAGCAAGCTATAAATCTACGGTCGTCTTAGTGACTTTAGTATCTTAACGAATTGACTGAGCCATCAAAACAGTCGATATTGTGTTCCAATCAAAGCCCTTTACATCATTATTATTATATAATATACGAATAAAATTAAAGCATTAAACAATATCGGTTAAGTGGTTAATCAAAAGACAAACGCTAGTAAAAATAGCAAAATGATGTAAGCAATTGCCTAGTAATTATCGTATTTCGGTCGCAGGTTACGCTTTTACCACACCTTTCATTTTATGTACTACAAATCATATCAGAATACATCTCACACAATAAAATCACAACAGTCAGTTAATAACGAATTCTAACAATTCATCAAAACCTGACTTACCAAGTTAGCCATAACAATTGTATCATATTCAATAGTAGTTGGTGTAGGACCAAGCGTAAATTGTAGTCCACGTGGCGGTTTCATACTCCCCTCTTCCACACAATGACCTTCAAGTAGAAGATATTCTAATTCGAAAACGGCTTCCACTAAATGTTTTGTAGAACGATAATCAACTAGGCGTAGATTATCTAAATCTTGTACAGCCTTAATAGCAGCAACCATCCAACCATGTGGTTCATCCATACCCAATGTAAGCAAAGATTGACCAGGTAAGTGAGTAAAATAAGCACGAGGTACAATAATAGATGGATTGAGTATAGATTCATTTTCTGGAAACAATGATGGTTCCCATACGAAACGATAAAAACTGAAATAACAATTAGAAATTGTTACATTTTTAAAAGATTACTAGTGTTCATTTATCTGTTAATTAACATTCCAATAGATAAACCATCTTTTCAACTCCAGCGCCCAACTTTAGTCAGTACAGGTTTCATCAAAACCATACAAATTCTACTGATCATGATAACTTGATCAAAATAACAATTTGTATAGATAAACACACTTGACATTCATACCTTTTGAAGTGTGCTTATGATATCTAAAATATCTAACTTTTGATGAGAGCCATGACCGAGTTAATGGTAAAATAAAGTCAAGACACAATTATTTGAAATTAAAGAGAAAAACCTTAATTGGATAGGTGAAACCATCTATTAAAATAGTATTTATAACTTCATCAGGTGTTTTGTATTTTGCTTCAAAAGATTCGGCAAATTGTTATAAAGATGGTAAGAATAAGGGATAGCGCTATTCTATAAAGAAAAACCAATATTCTTGTCAATAGTGAATATACATTATAACGTCCTAAACAAAGGTTAACGTCCAAAATTTATTGACATCTGAAAGTTCTAATATCTTGAAGATACACACTTCAGATTTTTTTGTGTTATATAAACAAAAATGTTAATGCATCCTATGCAGTGTAGTGGACGCTAATCACAGGATGATTTTTGGGTAGTGTGTAGTTGCTAAGTTTGAAGCAGTTACGAGTTCACTTAGACTGCGAACGGAAACAAAGACTCGGTGACCAAAGACCAACAAGCTAGCTATTCGATGCGACCCAGCCCTGCTAACTAGAGGAAGAAGTCCAAGCTTGGAATGGGAAAGTCTATTCCACAAACAGCCAGAAACGAGCGATAACAACAAGCACAAATCAAAACGTATATATACAGCACAAAACCGCCGTTGGAGAGAGTTACAAAATAGCATACTAAATAACACAACGGACTAATAGCATTTAAGATTCTCCCAAGTGCGAAATACAATATAAAGGCGAAAAGAAAGAAATCTAAATTTTCTAAATAAAATTACAAAATTAGGTCCTTTCTCAAGTGAGTTCTGGGGATCTAACGTCCCCAACAGTAGTGGAACGTGACATCAAAGTTGCTACAATCTTCAGACAGAGTGAAGAGTTTTAATGCATTGAAAGCGCAGATTTAACATAACACTTGGAGACCAGACGAGGATACAAATCAGATTGCAGAACACACCGAAAGATGCAGATGAACGATTGAAGGTTATGTATAATGTATTACACGAGTGCATTGTAATTGCTTATTGTCGTGCTTCATAGTAGTATACCTAACTGTGGACAGGTTTGCGCGTTGAAGTAAAGTGACAAATAAAGATCATTTTAATTAGTATGAGGGGATTTGTGGAGATTGTAGAGTTTTCATTGTGTAAATTATGAACTGCTCTTAGCTAGACGACCATCGAAAATCAGGAAGCATTAGACTACTGTCTCATTCCAGTTCGGAACTCCTCAGAGGTGCCCGACCACGACCTCACATCAAGTAATTCAACCAAAGATCTGTCGCATATGCAACTGCTTAACCTTCGGAGTAGTGAGCCGGCATTCAATGGTGTACATGTCTAACTTCAAGCTGCGAAGTTCCATAATATGAGGAAACAGCTTTTCAGTGCTTTCTGGTTTGTAATGGTGATCCAGCTAAGATCAGTTAGTGCTTCAAATCATTATAAACAAGGTGTATCTTTACAATTCTATTAATTTCACATTAGAACATCTCTGTCATAATAAAAAATATTGTCTACATACCTTTTCACTGGTAGTTCAGATAACGAAGGCGATGGATTGAATAAAACTTTTACAGTACATGGCAAAGAGTGCTGTAGTACAATCAGTATATGAGATAGACGTTGAGCATCACGAGAAGCCGGATCTATGATAGCAACTAATTCAAAATTTGGTTCATCTTTATTTCCGTGAATAATGAAACCTGAATGATTGTATGATACACCATGAAGAAGTATTCTATGCCCATTTTGACCTTTGTCCGAAATCCCATCTACGGAAGACTAGAAGAATAGCGACAGTGAAAATATTATATCATAGTTTAACGAGTTAATAGATTTGTAGTAAAACAAACCATTGTGCAGAGGATATGAATAATCGGTTACTCGAATTACCTATACAACCTTTCATGTCATCACTGTGCTTACTTCACTTATCTTATTTTGTGAATTCCAAATACTACATCTATTCATTTTGTCCCTAACATTTCTTTATACTTTTCCAGGTAATCAAGATTTATCCATTAAACTTCTCATCTGTAATCAATCTACTACTTTTCCCTAACCAATTTTCAATGCTCTTCAAACAATTACGTAATTGTGTGGTGTACGGAACTATTCGATCACTTTGTTAATTATCATATGTTTTATTACACAATGTGTCAAATTAACTAGAAATTAGATTGAATAATTTCAATGAGGAGAAAAAAACTAACCGTCTCAGATATGACTGAACTAGTAGCTTCAATACCTGATTGAAGCACTGAAGATAATTGCCAGGTGAGTTCAGAAATAACATCAGGAACTCCAGCTGCTGTGCCTAAAATTTTTTCCAGTTTATCACCAAGCTCCTTAGCCCCATTGTCTAATGCTAAACGTTCTGCTAGACGAAAATCATCAGACAGAAACTCTTCAAACGATTCGAATGGACCGACTATCTGAAATTAAATAGTGAAAATGTAGTGTGATAATAATCATTATCATTTTAATCGTTCGACTCAATACCTCGTTTTTTCAGGGAATATGTGAGGAGAAAAACACATCAACTCTTAAGGTGCTCCATTTGAGTTTAGTAGTAATTACCGTCTTGAAAGGTTGTAAGCTTGTTATAAGAAGTTTCAAGTGTATTAAGTGTAAGGTCTTCTACGTATGTGTTTGTGTGCATGTGAAACCGCTTCTCATGCAAAAATTACAAGTGACAGCATTACTTTTTTACCCTTTACATTTAATACTACTTTTCTAGCTATCTGTATCATGTTTATTTTTGGCTTTGTTTGCAGTTATTATTATTTTATTGTCTACAGATTTTGATCTTCAATCAACTCGTTGGAGATTTCACTAATTGTGTTTACTCATGTTCTATATAACCATTCTTTTTTAGCGACTGCTATATTAGATCACTATGGTTTGATTATTATTGCGTGGATTGATTGATCTTGTTCCATATCACTGGAATGGAAATCAATTCTCAGTTTGTTAGAGACGTTTATTATTACTAACAGTTGATAATTAGTAGTATAGTTTCAAATAGTATTTATTATCTAATTGTTTGAATGACCATTATTTTTGGAGTAAATTGACCTGCTCTTTTTCTCGAATAGAACATTTATCGCCCAGTGAAAGCATAGCCCCAAATGCCCTGGTACAGCCGAGGGTGAGGAGAGTCTTCTCTCCCTCTCGAAATGCCCTCACATAGCTACGTGTATACAGACACTGCCAGCGAAATCATACTCACTACCTTCTCGCGGCGCGAGTGTTGTTTATGAAACTGAGAGGAAGACAAGCGAATGTCTGACACTTAAACTAGGTAGGTGTACACGGAGTATCCACTTAAGGGAGTTGGATAGCCCTTATTCCAAACCAATGATGCACATGAACTCCAGAATCCTGAGGGATCAAAGGGTGTATGAACTAATTATTGGTCATCGGCTACCATGAGACTGGATCTCCTGACGTTGCTTCACTGCGTTGTAGATCAAACCTTTATGTCGAAGGCTCAGGGAGTGGCCTCCTAAGAAAACCACTTGCTTCGGTTCGGGCGCCCAGGTAGTATCACAGCCTACACACAAACCAAGTCATTTTTGTGGCGCATATGTATTCAGTGCCCCTTTGTACTAATGTTTATGTGTTCAGATAGATAAACAGTGGGAACAGATTTTCCTAGATGACATGTAATCAGTTCCTAATCCTAAAAATTTAAGCCCTTAATTTCCTACAGTTAGATCATACAAGGTGTTGTAATAATTAGTGACTAATTATTGAAGAAAGTATTGTTCAGATATATTTTGGATGTGCACTTGTTGTGATCAACACTGCTTACGTACGCTGTTGTATTATTTTGAATGCTACTATACGTCATTGTTGACAAATATCATTTTTAAATAATATCCATTTAATCTAAGGAGTGGGCAAATGAAAAATTTAATGGGATAAAACTAGTTGGATTCTTAGAATTCTGTTACGCACATTAGGAAGTTAATATATACGCGATTTACTTAGGTAAGACAAAATGCAAAACAGAAAAACTGAATAACAATACACGTAAAGTTGGAAAATATACAGATGACCCAGAAGTTTGAGCAGGTCACCGAGTTCAAATGCTCAGAGTATAAAGTAGATGCAAATTGCGTTATTCTTCTAATATCAACTTGAAAATTCGGAAATTCGATAGCAAAGGGAAAGACTAATGATATACGTATTTATTGAAACCGATATTTTTTGTCTGGTGATTGTAAACAATCATCGACAGATAGCATTGAAAACGCTTTCAATGGTGGTGTTGTGGGTGCTGAGGAATAGACCAATGATTATCATGTTAAGTCCAATGGTGTCCTTGGACTTTAAATGGACATTTCCTATTGGTCGATATCTGTTCACTTGTTGAATATTGTACAAAATGTTGTTTTCTATTTTATGGTACGATGTGGTATGCTTGATTGGTATATAAACAAAGTATGTTTTAAATGTAATGATTCGTATCTCAGAGGTTGTGACTTGTGTTCTGGACTCAATTGGCTGGGCTAGACAGGGAAGTGGGACCAATCGAGACTCTAGGTTGTCCGTACGTGTTTACGTGTCACTGTAATCGATCGATAAGTACGCTGCTCTCTAATTTTCCAGTCAAGGACACAACAATTAGCACAGGGTAAAAATCGGTCGCAACTTAAAGCCATAACAGGTGGATTTGAAGTTGTAATAAGTTTGGCTTTTAAATACTGGAGTTGCTAATTTAGATCTTGTTTCATATACATCAATTCGGGCAACTAAATAATAATAATAATAATGATAGAGTAGTGGCTGGTGCTATGTCAAGCCCACATAGGTTATTCTAGCCTCTGAACAGACCAATCTATTCATTCTTTTCAAGTCACATTCTTACCTCGTCACTTATTCGCTTATTAATCCTGAATGTTTTTATTTGAGTGTATGTGTGTTAGTCACTTACCCTGTTCATTATGTCTGTAAATTATTTTTATCTGACCATAAATGTTGAATCACGCTTAGTTAAATGGAGTTGGTTCATACGCCTTCTCAACCGCGTGTCATTTAGTTTCGCTTCACTTCCCTGAATTTCTGTTTCGACCAACGATTGTATGAAGTATATATATTCAATTCAAAAATCCATCCTCGTATTTGACTTATTTATTTCTGTTATTCACTAACGCAACTTAAGTCGACAATTATATACGACAACAGCCGGGATGTATATTTCCATAAAAATCATTATTCGTATGATATAATTGGAGTCAGATATTGGGCCGCAAAAATAGTATCACTAGCCCACACTTGAAGAGTAGAACGTAAAGTTGAGTCTATATATGAACCCATACTTGGTAATGGAATCATATTTAATTAAAAATAATATACTGAGCTTAAAATTGATGAAAATGTATTAAATGGTACCTTAAAACTTACTTTACCATTCACAACAACAGCTCGTTCACCGGGTTTCAGACCAATAATCTGACAGGCAATAGTTGAGTGCATTCGTAGAAAACTATTCCTATCAAATAATTGAATAGCATCATGTATCTGTTTGGAATCCATGCCCTGAATAACACATGACAAAAAGAAACGTAAGTCAAATCTGAATTTTCTAAGAATATAATGAAAATACTTGGTCTTTGAAGCCTATAATTTTAAAGATCAGTATAATTCAATTCTCAAAGTAGTAATATTACAATATATACCTGAATAACACTGATGAATTAGTGTCTAACAAAATATTGACAAAGATAGAGCAGAATTTGTTGAACTTTTGCCAACTTTCATCAACTATGATACGAGGGGCACCAAATACATATGTGCCACAAAATAACAATAAAGGCCAGTAGTAGTTATCACTGATTTGTGTGAGGGCTGTGATACTACCTGAGCTCCCAAACCTAAGAAGGTGCTTTTCTTAGGAGGCCACTCCCCGAGCCATTGACCGAGAGGTCTAATCCACAAGACAGTGGAGCAACGTCAGGAGATCCAGTCTCATGGTAGCCGATGACCAATAATTAGTTCATACACCCTTTGATCCCTCAGGATTCTGGAGTTCATGTGCATCATTGGTTTGGAATAAGGGCTATCCAACTCCCTTAAGTGGATACTCCGTGTACACCTACCTAGTTTAAGTGTCAGACATTCGCTTGTCTTCCTCTCAGTTTCATAAACAACACTCGCGCCGCGAGAAGGTAGTGAGTATGATTTCGCTGGCAGTGTCTGTATACACGTAGCCATGTGAGAGCATTTCGAGAGGGAGAGAAGACTCTCCTCACCCTCGGCTGTAACAGGGCATTTGAGGGCTTTTTGTCTGTTGAAAGGATAATACTCTCTGTACCATTCCACTTTGTATTAATTTACAGGTGTAAAAGACGTTCTTTATTAATAGGATATAGATGAAGTTTGCTAGTATTTAATTGTAGACACCATTGAATCATTGGCCATGAATGTTGAGACTATAAAGTAATGTTGAGGCTAGATGTAAATTACTAAGTAAATATGGAAGATAGGTTGATCAGACTAACAAACGTCATCGGCTGATGTAACCAAGTATGTATAACACGTGTTCTAGTCATCGTCTACTTCAATATAATATATTGGTTAGCAATGGAGTTATTAGTAAAAAAAACGGGAAGTGTGGATAGATTATAATATGATATCAGTACACAAATACAATCAATTCTGATCTCTTTTGTTTTTTTCTCAATATAGAGTCTTGATATTGTTCATTTGTTCCCTTAGAACTCTGCTTTCTAAACAAGTATAGCTGACAATATCATTTGAATTCCCTAGTTTTTGATCATGTTAATTTTCTCAGTCACTTTACTGATATAGTTATGTTAAAATTAAGTCTATGAACACTTCTAAAAGTCACTACTTCCTACTAAATATAATGAAAACAAAATATATTAACCATAAAATAATAACGGGAACAATGAGAGAAGACGAAGACAAAACAAACTCACTGAAACTAGAAGTTCTTCTAAAGATTTGATAGATTTAGAAGTTTTAATCGATTCCAACATTTCTTTGATAAGACGTATAGCAAAATTACGTCCTGACATTTGTTCAGCATATTTTCGCTTTGCTATTATTTCATTATTTAATTGGTTAGATAAAGGTGATGTTATATTGATTGGATTACCAACAAGATAAAGTACACGTGTTAACCAATGATTAGTTGATGTTTCTTCTTTAGTTAGTTTCAATGGGTTATATACGAAACCAATACGTAAACCCTTTGTAGAATGACCGCTACGTAGAAATGTTAAAGCATTAAGAGCTAAATTGCAATCCATTTGAAGTTGGAGACGATGTTCTTCCGGTAAATTTGAATCGAAAATTTGATCCAAATCACCGATAACTATCCACATTGTAACTGGTCGAATAGATGCCTCTAAATCTTGAAAAATAATGGTAATAATAATCTTCTTTAAGAGACAACCAGTATAAATCTTCCGAGAGAATAATAGCTAGACAAATTTTATCAGCTGGTAAAATAAGAAACGTAACTCATCAAGTATGGGTTTGCGTAGTCAGTGTTGAGCAGCCTATTTCGTTTGAAGGGTAGTGGAACTACTCTGTTAGAAAGACTGAGGTACATACAACAAAGTTTGAGCCTGAAGCTTAATGGTTGAAAGTCGAATGCTCTAAACAATGCGGTTGGCAGGCACAAAATGATATATTTCGATGATTACGTTCTCGAACGAGGCATAGACCACAGTACAGGATTCTAACTACTAACGACTTACTTACGCCTCTTACTCGTCGCGGAAGAGAATGGGCCACCCACCAGCACTCTCCACCGAACCCTGTCCTGGGCAATCCTTTTCATATCTGCTTCTATTTCCCAACGTAATTTGTTTTTTGGCCTTCCTATTTTCCGCTTAACTTCAGTATTCCAAGTTAGTGCTTGTCTCGTGATGCAGTTTGGTAATTTCCATAATGTATGTCCTATCCATTTCCATCGTCTTTTCCTAATTCCCTCAGATGGAAGATGGTTTGTTCTCTCCCACAGTAAGCCGTTGCTGATGGTATCCGGTCAATGGATGTTGAGTATCTTGCGTAGACAACTACTTATAAATACTTGTACCTTCTTGATGATGGTTGTCGTAGTCCTTCAAGTCTCAGCTCATTATAGTAGAACTGTCTTGACGTTTGTATTGAAAGTTGTTTTGAGTTCCATATGTTCTTCAGTTGTAGGAATGCTGTCCTTGCTTTTCCAATCCTCGCCTATATGTCTGCATCCGATCGTCCTTGTTCATCGATGATTCTTTTCAGGTACGTGAAGGATTTCACATCTTCCATAGTTTCTCCATTAAGTGTGGTTGAGTTAGTGTTCTCCGTGTTGTATTTGAGGATCTTCGTTCTTTCTTTGTATATGTTGAGGCCTGCTGATGCAGAGGCACCCATAGAAAACTAACTCGCTAAAAAAACGCTAACCAGAAAAAAGTGCTAACGACGGATGAGTAACAAAAATTGTTGGCACTAATTACTTTGAATCGATACCAATAAAATACACTAGATACGACCATAAATTAAAAGTTGGGGAGAAAATTGACTCAATGGTGGGCTCTTAAACATTAAGTCACAGATTTGACTTCGATCTGGTCCGATCGTAGCTGATACCTTGATACGAAGTCTGCATTTGCGTATTGTGATGACTTGAACTATTTCGGCCGGAACATTCGTCCTTTCATGTCTTACCATGTCAGACAGGTCGGATGGAAGACAGTAGAACTGAAAGTAGGAAGTTCGCGACACGGGGATGAAGTTGTACTGTCGACAGTAAGACGTTCCTCCCAGGCGATTGGGATTTGCAGCTATCCTGTTTTCCCACAACGGGAGGAGGGAGTTTAAAAAGTTCGAGCCCAAAAATAGCACACCTCATCATGCCTTAAGGATTTCCATCGCCGGCCATGACGTTTTAAAATAACAGAGCTACACACTTAAAACTACTATTCTGCTTCTACGCTAATCCGCTGGGGTTTTCCCGCGTGGATTTAGAAGAAGAATTAAGTTACAATATTTATCTAATTCACCAGGACCCAGTTTTCGAAGCAACGGACTTTCCAAGCGTCATCCTGATCAGCGAAATCATATTTGAATAAGTCTTCATAACGCCGAAACCACATATCAAATGTGACATTGGATTCAGGATCGTAATGAAATTCAGAGATACTGTTCGCGATACCATCAACTGATGGTGCAGTAGTGGTAGGATTAGAAGTGCTTGGTTGCGTGTTGAGCGTAAGCTTTGCATCTGCTAACATTTGCATTAGTTTTAGCTGCTGCTCGAGCAATAATTCTACTCTTGAAGGATCCATGTTTGCGAGTTCACTTAGTCTGCGAACGGAACAAAGACTCTGTGACTAAAGACCAATAAACAAGCTATTCTATTGCGTCCCAGCCCCGCTAACTAGAGAGAAAAGTTCAAGTTTGAGACGGGGAAAGTGTATTCCGCAAGCAGCCAGAAGCCCGAGCAATCCCGACCCGTCTAGTCGGAAATACACTCATTTATATATTGATTCATACACCCAATATCACAATCGTAGAACTTTTTTTCGTATAAACCTGGAAAGTTTGTGTACAGCTGACGACGTGAATATTATTTTCGTCGCCTGTCTAATTGCCATTTATAAATCAGGAAAATAACAAATAGACGGATAAATGAAGCATAAAGAAAAAACTACTTACATCCACCTTACCTCCTTTTTGAAAATAGCGCATTTGATCCGTAAAAGATTTCAACAACTGTGAAGTGGGTAGTACATTTTCATCGGCTAGTGTGTGTGTATGTATGTATGTATGGATGTATATAAATGAAAATGAAAACGAAGAGAAAGTAAAATGAGCAAATGAGGAAAAACAGAATAAGAAGAATTAAGTTACAATATTTATCTAATTCACCAGGACCCAGTTTTCGAAGCAACGGACTTTCCAAGCGTCATCCTGATCAGCGAAATCATATTTGAATAAGTCTTCATAACGCCGAAACCACATATCAAATGTGACATTGGATTCAGGATCGTAATGAAATTCAGAGATACTGTTCGCGATACCATCAACTGATGGTGCAGTAGTGGTAGGATTAGAAGTGCTTGGTTGCGTGTTGAGCGTAAGCTTTGCATCTGCTAACATTTGCATTAGTTTTAGCTGCTGCTCGAGCAATAATTCTACTCTTGAAGGATCCATGTTTGCGAGTTCACTTAGTCTGCGAACGGAACAAAGACTCTGTGACTAAAGACCAATAAACAAGCTATTCTATTGCGTCCCAGCCCCGCTAACTAGAGAGAAAAGTTCAAGTTTGAGACGGGGAAAGTGTATTCCGCAAGCAGCCAGAAGCCCGAGCAATCCCGACCCGTCTAGTCGGAAATACACTCATTTATATATTGATTCATACACCCAATATCACAATCGTAGAACTTTTTTTCGTATAAACCTGGAAAGTTTGTGTACAGCTGACGACGTGAATATTATTTTCGTCGCCTGTCTAATTGCCATTTATAAATCAGGAAAATAACAAATAGACGGATAAATGAAGCATAAAGAAAAAACTACTTACATCCACCTTACCTCCTTTTTGAAAATAGCGCATTTGATCCGTAAAAGATTTCAACAACTGTGAAGTGGGTAGTACATTTTCATCGGCTAGTGTGTGTGTATGTATGTATGTATGGATGTATATAAATGAAAATGAAAACGAAGAGAAAGTAAAATGAGCAAATGAGGAAAAACAGAATACATATCAATTATATACACATGGGAGTTTTTTTCAAGTTTATGATGTGAAAATAAGTGATTGGAATTTATACGATGAACTGAATGAGAAATTCTATCCATCATCTTTAATCCTACATCCACAATGAAGAATAATTTAGACTTCTACAAACAACAGTGAGAATTTTTAACGAATAACATTAAAACAACTATAGTTTAGATTTATTATTAATACCCATCTCTGAATTAATGAACAATATTTTTTCAATCGTTCTTCCACTGTACTCCTCAAACCAGTTGCCAAATAATATGAGTACTAATCAGATTATCATTAGTTTCAACTCAAGTTCGAACTTTGTTATTTTTCAAAGTCCTATATCTTTATATGCTTGAGCAAAAAAGTGTATACCTAGGTATATTGGGCACATAATTTGATAGATATCATTAGACAGATGATATACATATTACTTCAACAATAAATCCCTCTCGTAATAGAAGTCAGTAATGCATCGAAAAGCTTAATGCTTAAAGAAGTTAAAGTTGTAGTAGAACAGCTGTTGAGATGCAGGAAAATTAACAACCTAAAGGAGAGAACCAATTAGATGATAGAAAAAGCTAGTGGGGAAATATGAAATGTACAGTCATCAAAGTTAACCTTGACATATCAGAATAACTATTTATTCACTAAAAAATCTAGATAATATGAGATCTTCCTAGAGTAAAAGTAAAAATATTTTAAGATGAAAACATAAAAAAGACATAATAGATAAATATGGTTCACTTATGAAGCAGTTTAAAATTTAGTAGAATATGAAGAATGACCAAATCTCTGTTCCATTTTAAGTGATGGTTATATTCAAAGTGTTCGAATCACTGATTTGTAAAACTGAGCGTCGCAGTAAGAGACTTTACAATCTCTCATACCCGACTCAGAGAAACTAGTCAATGAACCTTAGATACTCCAAGTCATGTCTTACTCTGTGTGAAAATAGAATATTTTATTGTGCCGATAATATTGTAATTGTGTAAGATAAATGTAGATTGAAAACGAGAGATGTCTTATTAATGGTGATGACATACAGCCTCGAAGATATTAAGACCATTAGCTGAATAGTATCGCGGTTAAGTATGAAGTGATCCTTGAACCAGGACGTCAATAGTTAAAAGTTAAATACATTCACTACTGTGTGAACACTTAATCACTAAGAACAGGTTCACATACCGGAGATAATTTGCACTAACAACTACATTTAACTAGACAACAATTGAAAACTCCGCCTGTAGCTCGTCTAGGGTTACGGCCGATCCCATGTCCAAGTAAACGAGGAGGATTGAGCATGGGGTCAGTAAACCCATTCTTTAGAAATCAACCTTTCTAAAAAACGATAATCAGAATAAACAATTAAAACTATTTAAACAACTTTGAAGGAATCAAACAAGCACTAGCTTCAACGCGTCAGGAGTTTCTGAGCCATAAGACATATCATTATAAAAAATGGATCTCTATCGAAACACTAGACAAGATTCAAGAAAGGAAGAACAAGAGGACAGCAATTAACAACAGCCGAACAAGGACAAAGATATTCAAGGTACAAGCTGAATACACAGAAGCAAACAAGCAAGTGAAGAGAAACATAAGAGCTAACAAGCAGAAACACGTGGAAGAGCTAGCAGCGACAGCGGCAAAAGCTGCAAGAGAACGAAATATGAAACAACTATATGACACGACGAAGAAACGATCACGTAAATATAGTATACCAGAGAGACCGATCAAGGACAAACAAGGCAAGACAATCACTCAGATTCAAGAACAGAGGAACAGATGGGTGGAATACTTGAGGAACTCTTCAATAGACCAGCACCACTGAATCCACCGAAAATCGAAGCAGCATCTACAGATCGTCCTATAGATGTCACTCCACCAACGACGGGAGAAATCAGGACGGCTATCAGACAAATAAAGTGTGGGAACGCAGCAGAACCAGACAGTATACCAGCTGAAGCACTGAAGTCAGATATAGAAGTAACTGCAAGCGTGCTCCCCGTCCTTTTCAGGGAGATTTAGGAGGAAGAACAATTGCCACCGACAGACTGGAAAAAAAGATACTTCGCCAAGATACCAAAGAAAAGAGATCTGAGCAAATGTGAAAACTACACAGACATCACACTATTATCGGTACCAGGAAACGTTGAAGCGGATGAAAGATTCAGTAGACGCCCCAACTTTGAGGCTACATTCCGTGAGGATATCGTGCACAGACCGGATCGCAACACTACGGAACATTGTTGAGCAATCAATTGAATGGAACTCGTCACAATACATCAACTTCCTTGATTATGAGAAAGCGCTTGACATTGAGGATAGGAGAACCTTATGGAGCCTTGTTCGATACTAAGGTATACAGGAGATGATCTTCGAAACGAACGTCAACGTAGTTCTACCGTACGAAGCTGAGATTTTGAGAACTACAACCATCATCAAAACGGTACAGGTATTTATAAACAATTATCTACGTAAGAAACTGAATGTTCGTTGACCGGATACGATCAGCAACAGCCTACTGTGGGAGAGAACAAACTAACTTCCATTTGATGAGGAAATTAAGAAAAAATGTTGGAAGTGGATAGGACACACTTCGAGGAAATCTTCAAACTGCATCACCAGGCAAGCCACAGCTTGGAATCTTGAAGGGAAACGGAAAAGAGGAAGGCCGAAGAACACACTAAGCTGGGGATTGGAAGCAGACATGAAAAGGATGAATAGCAACTGGAACCAACTGGAAAAGATTGCTCAGGACAGATTCAGGATTGAGAATGCTGCTGAGTGGCCTATGCTACTCCATGAGAGGTAACAGACTTAAGTAAGTAGCGATTGAAAACCAGGGGATGTTCAACAGGTGTCTCATCTCAGTAAGAGACTTGGCAGCAGTGTGTATCCACGATCCCATCAGGAATCGAACATAGGACCCACGGGCCTTGAACCAAATACACTACCTTAAGATAACTGTGGCTCTCAAGTACAACTCGACATGCTTTGTGATATTATACAATCATCCACTGGCATTGGCGATAATCGTCTTACTGCCGACATAACTGAACTACAGTGGTTACGGCTTCTCATTAGAACTTTTGGGATTCTTTTCGAACTTATTCACTAGTAAACAATTGAAATAATGATCAAACAAAGACAATCTTTGCAAGAAAATTACACATACATAAGCCCACTGGCATAGAATATCCATTGAAGTTAATATACTTCAGTGATTCAAGAGACCTTTGATTTGAAGTATCCTTCTTTTTATTTAATAATCGTACATTAAATCGTGGGACAATAGTTGCTGTCTTTTGATATAAATCAAATATTGTCTGAGAATTACTCATTTGACCTTGAAATACAGCTGACTGTACGTGCATTAATTCTTCCATGGACAGAGTAACAACAGTATCTTCGAAACCGCCAATTTTTCTAATCCCATCACTATCTAATATAATCCCGTTAAAAAGTATTAGTGGGATCTTCTTGATTGACTGGAGTCCAGAACGAATAAGAAATTCATGGTGGGACTAAAATTTAAATTTTTAAAAAATTCAATCATAACACTATTTGGTTCGCAGTGTGTTAATTACAATAAAATACTAGACGTAGGAAATATAGTTCAAAGGAAGTAAATAAAATCGAGGAATCAGAAGCATAAAACAATATTATGGATCAACAACCAATTCGAAATCACATCACCTAGGATATTGAGCAGAACCCAACCACGAAGTTTGCTCATATTAACAGTCAGTAATCTCATAGGCTGATTTTATTTTGGTTTTTCTACTCATACCCTTCTTCTAACTTGTAACTTAAAAAAGATAGCATGTCAACGAAGGCGACGTTTGGGTATGTGTAACATCATAAAATTTGCCATGAGTGGGTAGGAGAAATGAAACTTAGAGAGAATTGTTTATTGCGTGACGAATACCATAAAGCTTCTATTTATAAATATGAAATCGTACAAGTTAGAAAGAAGAAATGTCATCGTTGAGAAGCCCATCTTTAATCGCTTAGTATTCAAAAGATACAATATTGAGAAAATTTAAGTTCGATAGAAAATAGGTGTATTCTCATTTTGATTTAACGACAACTGAACCTAGAAAGTTACATGTAGAAACCAGAGGAACTACACCGTGGAAATAGAAACAGGCACATTTTTAGTTTGGTGAACACATACCAAAGAATCTAGGACTGAATAAAATCTAATTTTTATTTAGTCGTTTGTCTAACACAATACAACTATCTTAGTGAAAATGTATAAACGTTCTCGCTCTTAATATACCCAGCTTGTTATCAAACCAATGAAATCAAGACAGAGGACGGACAAATATATTTGATGAACACTTCCGTCTTGATGCAATGGTTCCTGAAAAGACTAGTTATCTGACTGTTAACTAGACCGAATAGTCTTTTTTCTGTAATAAATAAGATTAATGTTAATAAAATGTTAGGTATTCTGAAAGAATATTTCTTTTATAGTAAATATTTGCATCAAAATTAACTTGTCATTGTTATTATTTAATTTGTTTATCAGTCACAGGTTCGTATACTTGGCTTTGAGTCACACTCCAAATGTGAGGACTACTGATTTTATTGAGTTTCTTTATATATCTTCAGATATCCATATAAATATTACTGTATATTAGAGTAAAGCTTAATGACGATCTGATTGATAACAGTATTATTCGCTTATATCTATGTTTTTCTAACCTCAGTTCTAACCGATAAGCACTAAACAAAAACACGATAATAGAAAGCAAAAGAAAAGCCAATAGCTTACCGTAACTTCATTATCATAATCACTATTACCAGGTTCCGGTGTAAATATATCATCAGTATCAGCGGTTGGAAATAATTTCTCAAATTTTCGTTTAATTAAATCAATACTTAATTCACTGTTTGATTTTTCAGCATTTGCATAGATTTCCGTTAAAAATGACAATGCTGCCATAGGACCAGGTGATCCTAAACCATTGATTTGAACAGGAAATGGTGATTCATGTGAATTAAGTATAGTGGATGATATATATGAAAATATACGGGTTAAGATAAGACTAGTTGAATTCAATTTAGGATTTACTGCCCAGATAATGCCAAAACTAAGAAGAGATAGTTTGAAAGAGAAGAAACAAAGAGTATCATCAGAGACAATTAATTCTATAAAAAAATACAATAAAGCATCATTATCTAAACATTTGTGTGAAACATTAACAGGTAAATCGGTACCAAAAAAATAGGAGATATTAAACAAATGAGTTAAACAAATTATTCGTATGGATCAAGCTTTTTTGACAACTTATCAATGATTTTCACCATGCTTAACTTCATCGGCTTAACATAGGAGAACTGTTCTAAGCTCACCATATATATATATCCGCTCACATTATTCAAAATATCTATACACTTCCTGGGGATCCAGGCTCTTTAGGTGACTTGTCATTTCACTATGTTTGTAGATAACTTTCCCAATTTTAATCGGTTAGAGACGAAGTACAACCTGGTATGCATGTACATCGGTTCGAGTTGCCATACCCCATTAGCAACAAGAGATGAAATTGTCAGACCAAATTGCAGAGTAGTTTTATTGTTAGAATCATGTGTATAAATAATATCCTCATATCTAATTCATCTACAATCATTCGAACAATGAATCGGAGATCAGAAAACACAAAAGATTTCACACACACACACACATACCTTCACAAAAACAGTTTGCAACATTTTATAAAATCCCTTAGAGTTGTTGTTAAGTCAAAAACTTTAGTAAGTGGCTCGATTGACATGTATCATTCTCACAATTTGAATCGCAAATTGAAAATACAGAAAAAAAGTATGGAACATAGCTTACCGTACTGGAGTCATATGAAGAAGAAACGATTCTGTCAATTTTAACATTTCACGACTTTCAAATGAAACGGGATCAATTATTAGAATAACATTATACAAATTTTTACGTATTCTACGTAGTCCACCAGAAAAATCAAAATTGAATAATGTATGCAGAGAAGCTGGCCAATAAGCATAAGCTGGGTCAGTTTCTAAATTATTTATATAAGTAATTGGTGCATTGGATAAATCCAGTACAAACTGATTAGATATACTATGTCTTGAACCTGGTAAATTTGGGTCATTTTTATTGGTAGCAGAACCGCTAGAAGAACCATATTCAATGATTAACTGTGAAATATTTGAACCCTGAAAAACGAAAAAACATTAAACATTGTTTTGATTAGATTGTACAAATGTTAAGTGAAATTAATAAGTTTTGGGAAAAATAAGATAATCAACTGTCAAATGGGATGATTGTAAGTACAATAGTTTAAATGTTGTTCTTTACATTAGGGAAATTAAATAAGAAACCATTGAGAACCATAGAACAGAAGGCATATATTTGATTCTATATAAATTATTCCTGCTATTTAATAGAGTAAATACTAAGCACTAAATTTATGATCGGTATGAACTCACTACGACCTAACAATATGAAAGGTAACAATATTTTCAACATTTGATAATTATAATCACAAAATGAAGACGAAAAGTGGTTTTTATAAAAAGCTTTTACTTACTACAGAACACGTCTATACACACAGTTTCCGCATGATCTGAGAAAGCGTACGACAAATCAATGTATCTAACGATGATGTAAGCAAACAACACTGCTGGACTTAAATAACTTTGCAAATAACCCAGAGATATTTACATCGCATATAAAGAATTCAGAATGCATGTAAGTTAAATTAACAAACTACTGTAATACGGAGTGATACACTGATATTGTCACACACAAATACAATCTATACACTTTTTCAGAGATCCATCCGACAGCAGAATCGTACTGCTGACTGTAGAAGGGTGGGGCAGCAGTAAGTTGTTTCTCTCAGAAAACCAGCATCTGCAGCGATGTTGCCTTCTCAGAACAAAAGGAAGACGTAATAAAAGTTATACCGTAACAATGTCACACCCCACAAATTTCCGTCTCCGGTAGTAAGGTCTTTCGAAGTATAGAGTTAACACGTCAAAAACCTGTCATAGGAACGTCATGTGTAACCGACCTCAATTGGCCCCTTAACTCTGTGGTTACACTACTCCCGGATCACTAAGACCATCACTAACCCAGTTTCTTTTTCGGGAATCTCAAGAAGAAATGTTCTTTCACAGTATGGGCAGTGAGGAAGTGATAACTACCCCCATGCTTCTAATAGTATCCGAGATCATTTTATTTGGAACCTGTTAAGTGTAGCAACGTTTGTATTAGGTCCTACGTTAGCAATGATTGACCGACTGACTGAACAGTTCATAGAACTTGAAAATTAGTCACAACTGAAGGTAAGAACTGAATCAATAAACATTTTCAACAGTTGACTATCATGAGTAGTGAAGATAGGGGAAGTATAAAATGAAGATATTCTTTAATAAATTTGAAATCAAAGACTGGATTATAAGTATGAATTAACAACTAGTACTTAGTACTTACTGGTATGCCTAAATCATGTAGTTGTGTCATCATTTTAGACTCTTGACGTATGACATCCAATAAAGCAAATATATCAACAGAAGATGAAAGTAAAATACCATTTAGAAGAAGTAAACTTTGACCAGGTTGTATACCGTATGTTCCAATTAGAACATGTTGATTTTTACTTGACTCTGTACGAAGATTTGAATTAACATTTACATTGACAAGCCGACTAGACGTAATATAAAACAATGGGTATTATGTAGTATAAATATAAATTTAGTGTTAGAATCAAGGATAATGAATGATAGAACTAATTAAATGTAAGAAAAATAATTAATTTATGTAATTAAAATTTAAACACATAAATATTCAGAAGGGGTTTGTGGAGATTTTAGAAATTTCACAGATTGAAATCATGAGTCAATTGAAGTTAGACATTAACACCATTGGATGCCGGCTCAGTGGTCTAGTTGGTTAAGCGCCTGGCGCGAGACTGGTAGGTCCTGGCTTCAAACCTCGCGGGGTGCGGGATCGTGGATGTGCACTGCTGAGGAGTTCCATGCTAGGACGAAACGGCCGTCCAGTGCTCCCAGGTTTTCCATAATGGTCTAGCTTCAATTGACTCTTGATTTCAATCTGTGAAATAAATATTCATAAATAACTGGAATAAATGAACTCTCATTTATCAACGATTGGAAATATTATGATCCAGTATTTCTTAAACGAACTGTCTATCTTTTTATCCAATAGACCGGAAAGTGCATGAACGAATTAATCCCATTGAATGAAATAGTTAACAGAACTTACCATGACAATTCACTTGATTACGTTATGAATATCATAATTAAAATAGAGACGATGAACTGTAAGGTCAGACTCAATGTAAGTACAATGCCGCTAGAATTCTATAGAACTCGTAACGTTCATGAAAACAGGTTTTTTACGGTGACTTGTTGGTGAAAGCCACATAAGCTTACAGCGTACACAAATACACTAATCAACTTCCTCGATCGTCTCAGAGATTTCTAATTTGACAGGCTAAAACATGTTAATATAATGAGACCGAAAAAAAAAATTGTAAGTCGATCCAGACTGAATAATATAGTTTCTAATCAGTATTAACATACAGTCAGTTTTTGCTTATATTGATTGTTCCTAATCAAGCTGTTTGTTAAGTGTGACAGTGTGAAACAATAAACTTTTGTATCATACCTTAAAATGTTTATAACTAGCTACCTTGAATTCGGGCACAGAATTACATTTAATTGATTTTCGCGCAGTTATTTAGATGAGGACCCGAGAACCTGTTTTAGAGTTTTTTTTCAAAAAGACTCCACAGAAGATACCGAATGTTAATGCAATCATTTTGAGCATAATAGTGAACGTGAAGTAGCCATGTACTAACACGACGTTTGTATCAACTGGCAGAATTTATTCCATTGACAGATTGATAAATTATCAGAAGGGGTTTGTGGAGATTTTAGAAATTTTCACAGATTTAAATCATGAGTCAGTTGAAGCTAGACCACCATTGAAAACCTGGAAGCACTGGACGGCCGTTTCGTCCTAGTATGGTACTCCTCAGCAGTGCGCTCACTAGTGACTGACTTCAAGAGATACTCCTGGAGTTCTAGTGGGAAGCCGTTACCAGTGGAGTTCAAACAGGTCTGTTGTGAGATATCGGCTCACTGAAGACAATGGTATATGGTGGCGCAACTTCGTGGATTGGTTGAAGTTAGACATTAACACCGTTGGATGCCGGCTCAGCGGTCTAATGGTTAAGTGCTCGCGCGCGAAGCCAGTAGGCCCTGGGTTCGAGCCCCGCGTGGTGCGGGATCGTGGATGCGCACTGCTGAGGAGTCCCATACTAGGACGAAACGGCCGTCCAGTGCTTCCAGGTTTTCAATGGTGGTCTAGCTTCAACTGACTCATGATTTAAATCTGTGAAGATTGATAAATTGACAATTTTCATAGCCTTGAAACGCAAAACTTTTGTAAATGCTACTAGAGTGCTGATCTTATTTGAGTCATGAAGAAATGAAACGAATAAATAATTATTGTGTAATGACGATAAATCATATCTGTTTGGTTACAAAATAAAGCCCTAAATTTCCTGAAGTAAAAAGCATAACATTCACAGATGATGTCATTGAATATATTAAATAGATACTTGGGATTTTATTTACTGACAGTAAAACACTTTGCAAACAAGCATTGACTCTGACCATCTTGTTTATTTAACAGTACACAAAAGATAAATTTAAGCACATAAATTAGTGAATAAAAATTTAAATTCCAATAATCGTAAACGTGCATTAATCTATTCGGCGGCCTGCTTGAGTATCTGGGCTACCTGTTCTTGCCATCTAGATATTTCAACAAGTTATCTATTTTTGTTTGTTTTAATATATCATTATGTTTATTAATCGCACAACCTATTCTGCTGCGTTTCTGAAAAGTGTACAACCTTTCGTTGTCAAAGTTACAAACAACTCAATAAGAGACAATGTGGTTGCTGGCAATATACAACGAAAAGAATGTACATTATTCAGATGTTCATTTAGTGAACTGCTAACATCTAACTGACGATCACTTAATATTTATCGCCAGGACCGACGAAGAAGAAAGAAACGGAAACTTGTTGAAATACTTTACGCTGAGAATTCTGTATTGTACCAAAAATATAATATTGAATAAAGCTGATAATAATAATAATAATAATAATAATAATAATAATAATAATAATAATAATAATAATAAAATTGCTAGGAAAAGCAAAGAAATAGTAATAAACTTGAAGGGGAAAAAATAAAAGCGGGAATAAATCAATATACGTTAGTAGATAAAAAAATTCTGTTGATACCGGATTACGTAATAGATAACCTGACAACTATATATTATCCAAAATTAACGTTAAACACTTATTTCAGTTGTCCAATAGACCGCTCATAAAGCCACGAAGCCCCGTAATAATCTATATTGATTTAAATAATGGTCGGTATGCTTTAATCTGGTGACAGGAGATGAATATTATTTTGTACTCTTGAAAGTTTCAGAAACATTGTAACCGTTTGAAATAGAGTGAAATGAATGCAATGCATAAATAAACAAATATAAAGTAAAAAGAAGAATTTTACTAAATAACCTTCTATAATCATGAGTATCCTATAAGAACCAGTTTTAAAGTTTAATTGTTATTAGTAAAACCATATTAAACTAAGTATAAAACTTTTGAGATGCTGGAAAAGATTTGTAGCTTAGGTGAATGATTTAGGTTTAGTTTTGTTCTCTGAGGTGGAAGGTTTGGCCGTGGAACTTACATTCTGAACAACATCGGCAAGAAATCCGAAAAATCATGGACAGATATGGGGCCCAGGATCAGATTAAAGGGAGATACAATCAAAATAAAGTAGACAGTGACAGGTTAAATGTCAACAATGAGCAATCAAGATCGCGGTCGACAGGACAAACTGTGAGTCATATGTGGAGAAATTCAAACAATCCACTCCTACCTGAAGTTTGTGCTGATGTTGTTCGGAAGAGCAATGAAAGCTCCACGACTAAACGATTCAACTCAGAGAACAAAACTCCACCTAAGAAAAAAAATGTCATCAGTGTTGAATTACCTTGCTCGTGCTGGTAAATTTTGACTAATATCACGTAAACTCCATAAGCCTAAATCAATATACGATCCGATGAAACCTTCATGTTTCATGTTTGATAAAAATCCATCCATAACTACTTGACAAGCTTGTAAGCTTAAATCACGAAATTGCCAAGCTTTCAATGGACGTAATTCATCATCTGTAGTTAATAAATGACTATGAAATTCATTGAGTTCTTTAGTTAACTCTGGATGAATATTTAGAAGTTGTGTAAAGTTGAAACCTGCGACAATTGGCACATCAACAATTTTATCGGTTTCTTTTAATGATACATTATCTGATTCTGAAATAAACAATACATTATTATTAATATTAACTTAGTATCAATTACAGATTTGTGTATTTGGGTTCGTCACACTCTATGTGTGCGAACTAGTGAAACAACCCGGTCTCCCAAACTGGGATAGAAGTGGTTTTTGAATATGTGACTTAGTGACTGAAAGCCAAATGCTTTAAACACAGTACCACTACTCCAACATATATATATATATATATATATATATATATATATATATATAAACTTATGGTGCAAATCACCGCGACTGACCAAACAAACGTAAGTGGAGCTCGGTTATAAACTGCAGCTCCACACAGTTAAAGTAGATTGCTATGGTCACTGAAGAAATATTTTGTACGAAACAAAAGTGATAGAAAACCTAGTGAGTTGTAAACCAACTACTTAGCGTAATTTTATACGACACAATAGGGATGAGATCTATTATAAGACAAAAACGATTATATATCTGTGACATATTAGTAGTGATAATAAGCGGTGACAACATTCGACAACATAAATTCACTTCACATTACCGTTGAATAAACAGTGAGAAACTTAAAGGTCGTATAACACAACAATGATAAAACGTACCTTCTGATTTTGTATCATCCATAGCTTTATATTCAGTGCTTTTCAAAGCAAGTTCTACACCATAACCATTTAAACTTGTCCCACTCAAATTTCGGTTCTTTCAAAAGAAGGTTAGATGAATAATAATAATAATAATAATAATAATAATAATAATAATAATAATAATAATAATAATAATAGTAATAATAATAATGTTACGACAACCAACGATGAAACTTGTTAGACAAATATTGAATATGTTTCATCTGTCATATATCCGCCAACAAAAACTAAACAGACTGGGTTGGGTAAATTTAAGTTGATTTACCCCAGAAATCGATAGTGCTCAATGTTGAATTTCACTCTAATGTATCATGAATAGAGATGATATACTACATAATATAGTATGACAACTGTACCACAATCGTACTACAGTTCAATATTGTCGTTTAGCATCCATTATCAATATAACGACTAACACCAGGAGTATAACAAGGAAAGTAATGTAACTCAGCCAATTTGTATACTTAAATATACTAAGAGCTATGAATCATATTTGTCATTTTTGTTCGAGGGTTAGTGATACTCAGAGCTGTCCAGACAGACGTATATACAGTAAAATTGTAGTTAATCGGTTAGACCTCTCGACGTCTGGCTGCTAGATAACAAGTTTGGATCCCAGCTTTTAACTACTTCGATTTGGATAACCGATTCGCAAGACCACTATCTTTCAAATGAAGTGTGGCTAAAAACCGAGTGCATAAATTTGTACTCGGCAAACGAGTTACATAGGTTATTAATAGGGTAGAGATTACAAACCAAAAACTCAATGGTTGACAATTAACTATTTGTGCCACTGTACTACAAATACATAATGACAACGGAAAATTACCATTGATATGCTCACCTGAAAATAATGTCTGAATGCATAATTACATAGACCATCATCAGACAATGCTTTTAAACTTCTATGCCATGAGTAAAATTCGTGATGACTTAAATCCCCATATAGAATCACTGTAGGAATGTTATTGGAAGTATCTTTTGGTGATGAATACACTTTTTCAAGTGAAAATAAAGCTTGAAAATAATGGATAACACAACAGATGATAAATGGTAACTGGTAGCCTACTGATTTTAATTATATGGTGAAATAAGCAAAAGTATAATTGATAGACTTACGTTAGTTTTTAGGCTAAAGTCAATTAGTTATGAGAAAACTACCACAAATATTCGACAGAAGTGATCTTTGTTATTATTTTATAGAGATTTTTTTCTCACCGTTGTCATTTAAAAGTAAATTTGACTAGTCCTTTTTGGCATTCTACATTATTAGATGGATCCCTCAATATATTGACTGTTACTTATTTACTTACGCCTGTTACTCCTAATGGAGCATAGGCCGCCGACCAGCGTTCTCTAACCTACTCTGTCCTGGGCCTTCTTTTCTAGGTCTATCCAATTCTTGTTCATTTTTCTCATGTCTATCTCCATTTCCCGGCGTAATGTGTTCTTTGGTCTTCCTCTTTTCCTTCGGCCTTCAGGATCCCATGTGAGGGCTTTTCTTGTGACGCAGTTGGGCGCTTTCCTCAATGTGTTTCCTATCCACTTCCAGCGCTTCTTCCTAATTTCTTCCTCCGCTGGGATCTGGTTTGTTCTTTCCCACAGTTGGTTGTTGCTAATAGTGTCCAGAAATATTGACCGTTACGTGTTTATTATATCTTAGGGTAGTGACTAGCAGTGTAACCATTGATGGGACTATGATGACTCTGTAGTTTGATGAATAGCATGCAGGTATTTGAAGTGGTGGGTACCGGTGCTGGACTCGGTCATAGTATGAACATCAACAATCGAGTTAAGGTAAATCTAGCTGATGAGACTCAGGTAGGACAAAAAGTGTCTTGGATCCCATTGCTAGTTATCAAGTGAATACAGATTATTAATCGTGGCATCTCCCCAAAAAAATCATAAGGCAATGAAAGTTGGTGAAATTCAGTCCTGAATATCAAGAACAAGAAAGTATATATTCTCGTGAATAATAATGAACGTTTGTTAATTCAATCCCACTCATTCTTTTCCCTCTGCACGCTTCTTCAATTTCGTTTCATTAGCTGGTTCCTCTTTCTAGTGTTTTTTGCATTTAAATTAACCTAAAATGATACACTGCTATTGTGCAAACCACAAATGTTTACAACAAACAGAATAAATAGAAAGATCAGATTAACTTTATACTACTATCATTCGCATTGAACAACCAGAACGTTTGAATTTAAACACTAAGTACTAAAAATTTCAAATGATAATGGTTAATTTTACTCATTCATACAAGTCGGTGAGGATAGTGTTGCTTCATGCTTGTGAAACTCGGCCTCATCGAGCTGAGAATGTTAAGCGACTCTCTGTGTTTGATGATCGTTGTCTCCGAAAGATCGCTGACATCCAGTGGCAACATGTTAGTAATGCAGAGGTTCTTCATCGAGTGTTCGGGCATAGTAACGATATTTCAATTGGTGTCACCATTCTGAAACACCAACTTCGGCGGCTTGGACATGTTACGAATGTCGTCCCAGAGAATTCCATATCTTTCATTATTTGCCGATGCTGGGACGGCTTGGAAAAAGCGAAAAGGTAGTCGGTGAAAGACATAGTGTAGTGAAATGAGAGAAATTTGTACAGGGTTGACTTCTGTCGGTCCATCATAACTCAATCTTTGGGTTCCTATATGTAGTTCAACAAAGTGGCTTGAGACATTATTAGATAACTCAGAACAGAAGCTAGTGGCATTCCTGCTGTAATTTTTTTGCTTTTCTCATAAAACTCAGAGGAACTTTAACTGAAAGAATTCCCCTTAAATGTATTTTTTAACTGAACTGCTTTCGCCATTATTTCTTATTCTCATTCCCCTGTTTTCGTTTGTTTATTTTTTACTACACTCACTTTCCTCTTTCTCTTCACACTGTCACAAAAACCACAAAAATTCAAAGATATAAACAATAAGTAAGACCACTCTTATTCCTGATACATTATACATTGTTTAACAGATTAAAAAGGACTGAACATAAAAATAATGCTCCCAAATTTCCCCTAATTGGGTCAACTTACTTGGTTGTGAATTAGAACCCACAACTTTTTCAATAGATTCCTTGAGTTTGTCAATGGAAAAAACAGCCTCTGACCCGGCAAGAACCCAAGCTACTCCGGAGGTTCGGCTTGCTAATTCAGCTAGAACAGTCTCGCGTGAACAATTTAACAAATAACTTGCATCAGTCAGAGCAAGTTGATGTGACATTTCAACAGTGGGTGAAAACATTCTAGATGAGACGGACAAAGTAAACAGTCGATTATGAATCTCTAAAGAGCTATTTTTTAAGCTAGTAGCACTAATGGCCTGAATGGCAAGCTCTTTAACCCGTTTCTCCAACAGCCTATTCTTCGAAATCAAAAGGTAATCATCTGCAGGAGGCATAAGATTTGTCTTTATGAAGTCCAAGTCCTTTGAGATAAGATCCAAAAATCGCCAAAATGCATAGTTGGATTCACGAGCAACATATTCACTGAACGAGAAAAAATATAAGTCAGATAAATGTAACGTCTTGCCAAAATACTTCAGAAATGGTAAAGATATATTAGTTTTTTATGCCTATAAGCGGAGTCAAAGTAAATGAATATATATTGTTTAAGGGGCTTAGATAGACCGAAATACAGCACAGAATTTCTTCTGATGACAGTATGCTTTCAAAACTATAAGCCAGTGTTCTGAGAAATACTGTCAACTAGTGAATGATAACAAAATAAGCGGCAATTTTATGTATGTGAAGATAATATAGTTAAAATTCAAGTAGATGAGTTACCTGGCTTCTGCTAACAGAGGTGTATTTTTCCATTTTGGAACCAAAGTGACAGAAACTCTGTTGTCACTCAAACATGTATCCAGAAAAGTAGAATATAGAACCAGAAATGCCAAAAATGTGATCATTTTACTACAACAATAGGGGAGAATAAAGTTGAGTATTAAAAGTCATCAATCAAAATTATATTTATAAAAACATTAATATATTTGGTAGTACAACGGTAGATGAGAGAAAACTAACAGCACATATAAATGTACCCAAACAAAAAGCTGTGGTTAAATTGAGATTATTTACAGCTCTTAAACTTTGTATACATGGTGTTAATGCCACACAAGTGGAAACAAAAGGATAAAACTGTAATGTACCTACAAAAAAAGAATCGAACTCAGTCTTCCACGTAATTAGAAAAAAAGTTAATAATCTGCTGAGGTTAACAATAAGCAACACTTTAATTAATTCGGATACAGTAGTTATTTTAGTGATCGGAAACAAAAATATAATTGTCAAACAAAAGCAAGAACACCACCACGAAATTGATACAATGTGAATAAATAGATCAGAACTGAAAGAAAAAGAAAGATTAGCCAGATTGTTCTCAGTTTTTGGTTGCTCACTTAACCAAGACACAAAAGCATTCAACAAAATGGACATAGAAAGTATCTTTAGAAGACTTGGAATGGAAACATTGTGAATAACATGACGATACGCCTCAAGGCGACCAATGAGAAGATCGATAATAACTAGAAACAAATCATATTCGATATATTTGTCAGAAACATTCCCACATCTAGGACAATGCTCCATCTTAATTATTTCCTCAGCATATTGAGTGTAAAGAGCGGCAACACGACTATTGCAATAAATGCAGTGATATGAGTTTCCTGACATTATATAGTTTCACGGGGCGGTGAAATTTTAAGAAGTTGTAATCACATGGAAATTGGATTATGAACGACAACCTGTAACAAAAAAACGTATTGCATCATAAATCTTTAAAGGCATTTTCTAGATAGTTTTTTGAGATTGTCAGGATCACTTAACATTGAATCTATTAAGTAAATTATTGATGATTCTTAAGGGAAAATCAAGATTTGCTTAGGTTATAATTACATTGATTCGTCAACGACTAAGTGGTATTTGTAGTCTGATATATGTAACAGTCAGTTAGTTACAACGTAGGACCAGGCATATATATGCATCGGTTCAAGCTGCCACACCTCATTAGAACAACAATAACACCAAATTCATAGAAGTGATCACTTCAATTATAATAATGTATAAAAGAAATATTGTGTATAAGGATATACCACAGGAAGAAAGAATTAGTTAGTAGAAAGATATAAAGCGATTTTAATCTCACGGTTTAGGGGAGTACAAAGGGCGTATCCACCTACGCCAATGTGATTGATTCTGAACCACGTCACCCAGTCTCCAACCATTAGTTACGATAGTCACGCGGACCCCAACCAAGTAGTCTGCATCCATCAACATGGATCACACTAGAAGTTAGTGACTTCAAAAACTGGTGCCACGTTTTGATTTAGCCATCCCTAACTTTCTTCCAACCGTCTCCAACATTAGTCAGCATTGCGTGTCGTGGTATTCGGTGTTCAGGCATACGTAACACGTGGCTCAATCATCTCAGTCGATGAAAATTCACAACCTCGTCGACTGGTTTACCATCATTCCTTAATACCTTGCGTCTAACCTCACTATTACTTACCCGGTGATCCCAGCAGATACGAGCAATATTTCTAAGACATCTAAGGCATGTAGCTTCTACTATTAATGGTCAAGTTTCGCAGCCGTACAGTAGAACAGAACGAACTGCCACGCAGTACACTCGTCCCTTAATTGATAGACGGTTATCTCGCCTTCGCCATAAGTGACGTAAGTTGGCAAAAGCTAAACGAGCTTTTAGGATCTGTGCTGAGAGTTCGCCAGACACCAACCCATTTGGGCTGATCAGACCTTTAAGATAAGTGAAGTTGTCGACGCGTTCGACTACTTCACTCCCTATCCTTAGTTCAGGTGTTGACGCAGACCAGTCCTGAAGCAACAACTTGCATTTAGAGGGAGAGAAGCGCATTCCAAACATTTTGGCATTGTTGCTCAGTGCTACCAAAAGACTTTGCATTCTATCAGCGTCTTCACCAAACAGGACTATGTCATCCGCGTATTCTAAGTCGATAAGTGGACCACCTGGAAGGAGACCAATACCCGAGAATTCAGTAGACGAGAATGTTATTTCCATCAATAGGTCTATGATGAAGTTAAACAAAATGGAGAAAGTGGACAGCCTTGACGGACACCACTTGAGATTGCAAAAGCAGATGACAGTTCGCCATAAGATCTGACTCGGTTGGTAGTGTTCGAGTAAAGAGCCTTCATAATGTTTATGTACTTCTGAGGTACACCTTTCAATGAAACAGGTTAACAATTGTTTTATATTAGGGACACTAGTTCAAGTGGATACGAGCTTCACAGAATTTCGCTATGCCAGTTGACTAAGTTCAACTTATGCGCAGATTTATCTAATCAAATTTTAGCTACGCTCTTATTAGGTAAAAGATAACTTTGGATTCTGTACGGGAAGTTCTGAAGGTAAACAGAAAATCGGATTTTATTGTTCATTAAGCCAAAGTTCGGAGCTCCGTATAGGCTACTACTACCTAAAATATATTGAGTTAGAAAACTAATTGAGTAATACATACTTCAACCACTTTTGGCAGTAAAATCATGGTGAGAGCTCCACAAAAATTAGTCGGAAAGAGGCAAATGGATCGCACTATGGATATTATATACACTAAGTCTGAAAAAAACCCAAGAGATTCCAGGTAGATTGGTGAGAATATAAGCTTTTACCGACTGAGGTGACTGGAATATGTAATAAACATCCTGGTCGTTCGGTTGTTCGCCCTTTCTAGCTAATCAAGGTCATTTTTCGGTTCGCTCTACCAACTTATGCTGTGATTTTAAGACTCTTCCGGTACCCATAGATATGAGGATTTTACTGATCAACAGCGACACAAGGTAGAGTCCCGAGTTGGGTCAAAAATCTTGATAGTATATAATTCATAAGACGAAATAATAAAAAACATTGTCAGCTGTCACCTAACAATAAGGCGATTTCGGAAACATTCGAACGAGAGACACTAAAGCAAAAAGGACACATAAGTACTAGTTCTGTTAAAAGATTAAAAATGAAACAAGAGAAGCATGTCTATTCGAGCACGCCTTCAGCACATGTCTTGATTACTATAAGATAGTGCAATGGCGAGTCAAAAATCGAAAACAGTCTCGATTAAAAAAATGTGGAAGGTGGTAAATAAACAACAAAGCCTTATTGGTAACATAAACACTGAGACCCAACCAAAAACAGCAATATGTAAAATATTCATAACTGCCGCATTGACGTGTAACAAGACAAACGATTGGTGAGTCCCCAAAGCTGTCATTAAGGTGTATTGTAGTATCTGAATAAATCTGACCATTTGACTTATTAGCTTAAATAAAGCAGACTTGAGGTAATCTGTTAAGTGGATGTGTGTATTCTGTTTACATGGATAGAGTAGTTATGAGAGTAGTAAAGCTCTACATCCTGTTTGTCGGTCTTCGTTAACCAGGTTGGTAGGTTACTTGACCTATTTTGATACGTGGAGGAAGTATGAGGTTTTTAGGAGCATTAAGGAAGTGGACGTTACCCATCCATATAAGTATGGAGCACCAGACATTAACCACTCAGTAAGAACAACAGAAATGTAACACGAGTTTATTCGATCTCAGTTCATTTTTGTGATGCTTTCGGAGGATACTAGTCCTAGGCAGACAAAAAACAGTACATATTCATATTCAAGTAGTCTTAGAAATTTCGTACGTTAATTTAGTATTAAATACTTCTTTTTTGACTCAGTTGAATAACATAATGATTCTAATGAAATATAGACCTGTTGAGCGAATGAGACATCGCTAAATACTAACCAGATAGTCAACAAAGCTACATACTTTCAAAGTCAGAAAAATGATCGCTAGATATTGGGACGTTTGCTGAATATTGTCAAGGGTGGCCAGTCCTAGGAAATCTCGGAGTTCCACTGATAAGCCGTGACCAATGGGATCAAACCGTAGGCTGATTGATGTTAGACTTACTCATTATTCGATCTACCTCATTTTCTAGAGGTTAATCATCCGTTCGTGTGACTGTATGTCTTGGGTTCGATTTCTTGTAGCAAGACGGTGTATGCATGCTGCTGTGAAGTCCCATACTATGGAGAAACAGCAGTCATGTGGTTCCAGTTCAACAGTGGTCGTTTAAGTTGGACCGGTCTATGATTCCAATGGAGTAAAATAAGTTGAGTATAAGATTGTGTTTTTGGAAACCTATATTTTTGAACACTTATTAGGGAAGACTGACTGTGAAGGAACCAGACAGGAGAAGCATTTACAATCTACTGACAATATTTGGGTATAGGTAATCTCATATATGAAAATAAACTAGGCGTAAAATACAAAATAGTAAAAAGACACGTACAAAGCACACTCTTCTTTATGAAAAACTTAGCATAGTTTAATAGAGTAGAAATTGTGCGTGAAGAGATGTCTGGATAGGACACATTTGGGGTAGTGGTAAAATAATATATTTAATGTTAAAAGAAAAGAGGTAACCACGCGTCCGTGAAAAGCCATGTAGTCTTCATCACATATTACCCCGTCGAAGTTTATTGACCTTATTCGAATTTTTAACGGCTAATATAAATCGCCTTGATTACCGTTTATTCAGCTTCAAGGATCGTGTGGTTAGGAACCCGTGTGATTTCACTGTCATCACAATCTCTTAGATCATTTCAAAGTCACATCTCGTGACCAATACTTGGCCCAACTTATCTCATAACTCCGCCTGTAGCTCTTCTAAGGTTATTCATGGCCCCCAGACCATGTAAGGAAGGAGCGTTGAGCATAGGATCAGCAACCCCATACCATAGAAAACAACCTTGTTAAAAAACGCTAACAAGAATGAGCAACTTAAACCATGTGAACCCCGCCCTCCAAGTTGAAGCAAGAGTTATGACGTCTCATGATGAAAGCCGAGTCCGGTGCCCCGTCTAACAACCAGAGCAACAATTAACATAGGTAAATGGGACGTCCGGACAATGTGGGAGACCTGGAGGACCGATCAAATACTGTGGAAATGACGAGATACAGTTTACGGTACTCAGGATCAGTGAACGCCATCTGACCCTAACTGGAAAGAAAAGAACAGATTCGGAGGGAAATACTGATGTACTCAAGTCACGAAGAAAATGCTCCTCACATTAGTGGAGTTGCTCTGATGCTGTTCAAAGAAGCACGAAATGCATTTGTAGCGATAAAAAAATCCTCAAAGTAAATAGCTCTGCAAGTTTTCGAAATTGGATGCTGACCACATTAGTTTTGGTGGACTCGCCTAGCTTAAGGCGCTCGGTCATGCATCCACACCAGATCACGAATGGAAACGCCGTGCTCAACAACCCCTGCAATCGCTAACCAGATTAGATTAGACGATACTCGACATATTGATAGCCTATCAAATATATCTTCGAACCTCCTAGCTTCTGTCTTTTATTTCCACTTGGTGGGTACGCTTCATATTAGAAGGTGTTACTGGTTAAAACATTGTCAAACTCCGAATACCTTTGGCATTTTCACACTTATAGTATGGAAATCTCATGGACCTAGTGTTAAAACTTGTGTCCTGTTTCCTGTTGATTTATAATGTAATGATACCGTCAATTAGAGAACAGTGAATTAACGACTGGACCAATGACGCATAAAAACAATACGAGCAGTCTAGAGTCCTTATCGGTCCTGCTTTCCGCCTAACCCAGCCTATTACGTCCAGAACACCAATCTCAGCCTCTGCAATATGAATCACTTATCTCAAACATACTAGATTTATATACCAACCAGAAAGACTATATCGTACCAATAAAATATAAAATAACATTTGTGAATGTGGAAGGTAGTAATTGGTAGGCTGTGTATAACTCAAGAATGGTAAATCATAGGTCAAATTAAAGCTCATAATAAGAGGGAAACGAATATGAATATTTTAGTTATTTAACAATTATACGATAAAGGTATACGTATAGTAATAGTCCAGAAATAGATCCCAACAGTTACCATTGATTATTCTCATCGGGATATAACACGTAGGACCATCAAATCATTATTCAAAACAAGAAAAAAGGGAATTACAGTGAATGCTATCCAATGTCATTCATCCGTTAATGATAGCAGTAACGAAGATAGATATCAGTTCTATGAGAAGCTGTAATATATCATAACAAAGTGCCCAGGAAATGACTTGATCATCCTGATGAGAAACTTGAACTCCAAATTCGGGATGGAGATATGAGATATGAGATGACATGGACTGAGAGAAAGGAATGAGAATGGAGAGAGATTTGTAAATAACTGTGCATTCAACAAAATGGTTATATGCAACACAATATTTCCCCACAAACACATAAAAAAGAAACAATATTCTCACATGATCACAATACAGAGAATTAGATCGATCATATCTGTATCAATAAAAAATTCGGGTCAATAGAAGTGTAACAACGGCCCCTATATCAGTAGGCCTCGACAATTACAAGGGAAAAGCAAGATTCTTTAATCGCAACACGCAGGATGCCAACCTAATCATACTTGATGGGGAAACTCTTGAAGAGGTGGTAACGTTCACGTGTCTAAACAACACCATCAATGAACAAGGAGGGTCTGATTCAAACGTAAAGGCAAGAATTGAAAAAGCAAGGGCAGCATTCCTACAGATAAAGAATACATGGAGTTCAAATAATCTCCCAACCAGAAAGTTTACTACAAATTTCAAAACAGTTCTACTGTATGGAGTTTAAACTTGGAGAACTACCACAACCACCATCAAGTATACACAAGTGTTAATAAATAATTATCTATGTAAGATACTCAACATCCATTGGTCGGATATCATCCACACCAGCGTACTTTGGGAGAGAACAAACCAACTTCCAGCTGGGGAGAAGATTAGGAGAAGACGTTAAAAGTGCATATGACATACATTGTAAAAATCAACAGACTGTATCATGAGGCAAGCGCTAACCTTGAATCCTAAAGGAAAACAGAAGAGCAGAGTGCCAAAGAACACACTGTGCCGAGGAATGGAAGAAGACATCAGAAGAACGGATAGCATCTGGAAACAACTGCAAATGATTGTCCAGGACAGATTTGGATGAAGACTTTTGGTGGGTGGGATAACAGACCTAAGTATTTATGCACGTAACTTATTCCACTGTGAAAGCCGTTTATTTGGTAACTGGCTAAAATAGATATAATCTTATCAAATCAATATATGATAGTCAAAGATTAGAGATGTACAGAGTGTAACGGAAAGAGAACGACGAAAATCTATCCGCAGCTTTTTCGCTGGACAGTACTGTCATTTATCTATTTCTTCTCCTTGCCGTGTATCTTAACCTTTGTTCAGATCTCGTTAAACCACATCTTTTTTCTTCAGTCTTCCTCGTTTCAGCCTTTATTATGTGATCTTCATTAAAGACTTATCTTTTGTTACCTAATTTTCTATTGCATACTGCTGGACAGTAAGGTCGTGTTTGACTAAGCTAAAGGTCACGGCGTGGTTCAGTGTGTGACTGTTAACCTTTTGACTGTCTGCTTGGGAGGTTTGCTGGAATCCCTGCAGATAGATATTTGATCCCATTTTGTTGGGAATATTTTTGTTGATTCTCAGCGCGCTACTTTGCGTTAGAGATACTTCTGACTGTATAGCACAGGCTGTACCGTTTGAGAACCGTTTAAATTGAACACAGAGTTTGTGTTTTGATAAAATATAATACGGGTGTCTCAAAAACACTTTGTAAGCTATACAGAAGAAAGCAGTCTGGCCTAGTCGAATAAATTTTTGATTCGTCAGTCCTGCGTTCAAACCGAATACTGGCAGTTCAGTCGTTACACAGTAAAGATGCTATCTCATAACTTGATTGATTGATTTAATTGGTTGTTTCTGGTCAGTTATTGTTGATCTTGGTGAGGTTCCACAAGTCACTCAACGCCGAGTGACCTACCGACGAACTTAGAAATGGTCCAGCCTGATGAATGATTTGACTATAGCTCGGAACATTTTCCTGATATCACAGTGTACTGGCAACGTTTAGTGTAATCGTTTTGGATTAGTGAACTACTGCCAAACGTAATTTCTGGGCGCCGAATTTCGAGTTACTCTAGTAATTCGTTTAAATCAGGCTGGTTATCCGGCCTATAACTATCATTGCTATGTAGCCCGACTATTTATAGTGGTGTCGGTTTCTAACTACACGGTTTCCGAAGCAAAACACATTGTTTCTGGGAAGACTCATGTTCAACACGTAACACTACGAGGTCAGCAATGGTGGGCGCAAGAACATTCATCCACTCGGATGTCACGGCTCAGCCCCGCAAATGTAGTT